AACAACACCGCCGGTTAGACATACCGCAAGAACGATAAACGATCCTTTGTTTTTGTAGGGGGGGATAATAATAATCGATAAATCGGTAAAAAAATAAATAAATAAGTCGAGAATAATGTAAACGATAATCCTTCTTCTTTAGCGCGGTAAGAGAGAGGGCAAATAATATACAAAAGTGGAATATTTTGAACGACTACACGAATCGAGCGGAGCTCGGGCAGGGGGCAGGAGTAGGGACGGGGACGGGGGCGGGAAGAGGGAGGGATGAGAGATTAATGAAGAAACAAAATAATAATGTCCATGTTGCTAAACTTAGCAGTGAGGTAGATCGCGTATAGGCGACGTCTTAGTTTAAAAAAGTTAGTCCTTAGTACAGTGAGAAAGGAAGAGCGAGAGTGCGAGAGAGAACGAGAGAGCGAGAGCGAGAGAGAGAGAGAGAGAGAGAGAGAGAGAGAGAGAGAGAGAACACACACTTATAACACGCAAACACACACATACCCACAGAACACAATACACGAGCAGTGCGTAGAGTCTACATTAACACTTAGACTAGATCTCTAGGTCGTTCCTTCGTATTAGAGCGTAGCACTGGACACCAACGCAAAGGCGTTTCCGGCGACATCATAGAGAAAGAGAAGTGCTCTTCCCCCCGAGAGCGATTTCTTTATGTTTCCCTCGAGCGTGAGGGGCCAGACGAGTGTGTGGTGTGTGTGAAGTGCGGGGATCGAAAACGGCGTGCGACTTGAGTGCGTACGAACCAATTCCGAGAAGTCGCGGATTTTCCAAATTTGATTTTTGCATAACCTTCGATCATCATTCAGGCTGCATTCCAAAGTAAACTGACAGTACTGAAAATCTATGGTTTGCGTGACATGCACCATGGACTTTCAGTACCGTCAATGTACCGAATTGTTGAAAACGGTTTGAACGCTTTCCTTGGATGCGTATCAAACTACAAAGAGAATCGCTTAAGCCGTCTTAAAATTCAGCGTACATCTTGGAGTGTGCAGCTATGACATCAGTAAATTCGCACGGGTCGATCGGGGAGCTTATTTTTCCTTAACGATCTGAAATCGACGATTTTCATTGGCATCGAGAGACTCGATCTCCCGCTTCGTGGTCCCCGCGAATCAACAAACGCAACAACGATCGCGCGAGATCGTTTCGATCCCCGGACCACCCGGAGACACTCCGCGGATCGACGATGCTCCCAGCGCGAGTTCCCAGTCGTTCCCTCTCGCCGACGAGGGGGAGGACCAATCGCCAGAGCAATAATGTACTCTTCGCACCTCTTCCGACCTGCGTCAGCTTCACCCGGAGTCTCCTTCTTTCTCTTTCTCTCTTTCTTCCGACTCCGGCTTCGTCCTCGTCGAGACTTCGACGTCGGCGATTCCTCGAGCGAAAGTCGAGGGACGAGACGCTCGAGACGATTTCCCGGGGATGTCCCATCGTCGAGATTTTTCCCGTTCGCTCTCGCTGACGATCTCCCTTTCCCGGGACATCGGCGATCCGTGCGCGCCGCCAGGCGCGGACTCGTTTTTGTATATTCGCGAGACGATCTTTCCTTCCCGAAGGCGTATACGCTTCAGTCCGCGTGTACGCTGTGTACCGTACCGAGAGATTTACTCGCCGGGGGCTGAGAACCTCGGCGACGAGTCCATCGGAGAAATTTGATTTCTCCGATCGGAGACGATACACTCGGCCTCGCAGCGAAGAACACCAAGTGGGAAGGAAGTACGACGGAGGCGAAGCGAGTCTCTTCTTTTCTAGAGCCAACAACAATATAAAAAAGGAAAGAACCGCCGTACCTACACACACACACACACACACACACATAACAAACAAAAATACATACATATACATATACACGACACACACAGTAGTCACGTGAAGCGTAAACTTATTATAAATACTAATATATTAATATTATTGAATATATACCTCTTCTGTACATACAATTAAGCAACAATAATAATAATGAATAATAATTAATCGTGAGAGAACGTTGGACGGTAGAACGGGGCAAACAATAATTGCGCATTGTTTTTAGCAAGAAAACGGCGGCGAAATGATTAAGTTGTGAATATAATAAGTACGATGTAATTGTAATTATATATACACCTATCTCGCGGCGATACGATGTAATTGTATGGATCCACACCACACACACATAGGTACACGGACAGACAGACAGACAGACAGAGAGACATACGCACACACACACACACACACACACGACACACATAAGTCACACAGTATAAATATTATAAATACATTATAACGACGACGAGACGACGACGATGGTGGAGACAATGGTGATTTTTATTATAACTCTATTATTATTACATTATTAATATTATTATTATATTATTAGTTATATGTCATTCTTATTGCGGTTGTATTATATTGTATCGAGGAACACGCTGTCGACAGGAAGAGAGACGAGTTCGATCGATCAGATCATCGTGCGAGTGCAACAATATCGAAGAAGAATAAACAAAAGAAACAATACAAAATCGTGGCGCGTCGTGTCTCATTTGTACTTAGTTATTACGTAGACACCAGCGGGCGAGTTATCACTGCAGTCTCGGGTTTCGACGTCGGTCGCAAGAATTTCTTTCTGTTTTCCATTTCCATCGGCATCGTTGAAGCGTTGCACGATACGAAATGAACTCTCGGCTTGGGTGCGTGCCTCCCTTCGCACCCTCTCCGGGGAGAAACTTCGTCGCACTCTTGCACGTGCGTGAACGAAGGACGTGTGGACGCGCGACAATCGGGAACGCTCATTGTGGCTGGTGAGTCGGGGTGAATCTCGACGTGAACCGACGTCGCGCGTCGTTAGCTCTTAGCCTTTTGCGAATACACCAATATGTCAAAGTCGTGTCACGTCAACCACAGTAGCTCTCTTCTGTGTTATTTTGGATTTTTCTAGGGATCCTCGATACACGAACACATACATAGACACACCGGACACGCGCGAAGCCCGTCAGCAGCGCTTTTGCGAGAACGGGCGAATCGAGAGGAATCGACGGGAGTTCACTTTCAGGAATGCCAAATTCTCGCGAAGTGTCGCGTTTTATTGAGTCCGCTCTGACGATTCTTCCCACTTTCACGTGTCTGATCGAATTCGCGCGGGCAATTGGAGAGCAAAAGTGCGAGAAAAAATGATGTCCCTTGCCTAAAATTAAAATTATTCTTGCAAAATTGTCGCGGAGAGAATGACGAGTCCGGCTTCGTAAGAAAAGACATTACGTTGATTTTAGATCGCTTGAAGACGGCGTCAATTTCGATTTAAGTTAAAAGTGAAATAAATCGGAACGTAATATCCGGAGATGTCAGAATCGGTCCTCGATTCGCGAGGATCGCTTTCGTATTTCGTATTTCGTGGGAATAAATTTCCTTCTACCTGCGATTCGTCCATTTCTCGCGGAGTGGAAAATACGAGGCGCTCCCGTGTATCCTTCCTCGTCCCGGAGAGGACGAAACACCGCGATACAATGCGAGAACGATTCTCTCGCGCGTATCTTGTCCCACGAGAGTTTCGACTATCCCACGATTCACAGAGAGGAGTCGCGATCCGTAATTATTTCTTGGCGAGCCGAACCAATGCTCAAGCGACGCTGTTGGTCTGAAATTGATAATAAAGAAAAGCAGATGAACCACGAATTTCTTTACCCGTCTGTACCTATAGGCCTGTAATGTAAAATACATGCAGCGGAGTATAAGGGAATAATAAAGGGGAAAGAAACGAGAGGAGAGAAGAAGAAGTGGCAACAACAAGAATAATAATAACAACAGCAGCAGCAGCAGCAGCAGCAGCAACAACAACAAGAATACACACTTTTTATATGCATGATTTATAAGTTTTAATTTTTAATATTAAAGGAGATATACCATGTTGTATGTGAATGAATTATTGATTATTTAAATTGATGTTTTAAAATACGAAAAACCTGGGCTTCTCATTTTCTCCGCGACTGCCTTCCCATCGCACGACCCTTACGGAGCATTTGTAAATAAATACCGAGAGAATATATTATAGACTCAAAGTAACAATATTAACTTCGCCATTGTTGCCATTGATAGACGAGACGAAGAGCGATAGACGAACGGTTCAATCGCGGAGCGAGAGGCTGCGCGTTGTTCGTACGAACGCTCATGCTTCGTCGCGCTTTAATCGATCACGATTCTTCCAAATCGCCGATAAAAGAGTATCACAATCGCGCGCTAAAGAAATCGTTTGCCATTCGTTGTTGCTACGTCGATTCGCTACGGCCGTTCAGAAAGCTACGGCGTGAAGATGACGGGATTGCGACTCGGCGATGGCGTCAGCGCGAGCGTGATAGCTGCCGTCTTGTTTCTTCGTCTGAGCCAACGACACGGCACGCGTGGTTAGAACGACCTTACGGAGCGGGGGCAAGGCCGCTGATTCTCCGCACGTGACCTACCCCGACGGCGACAGCGAGAGCGCCGGGCCGATCGAGAACGTGGATCGATATACACTTCGCGATGTCTCCGGTTCCAGACGTCGTCTAGAGCAACTCGAGACAAAGACCGTTGCACGGGTGGTTGTCGCGCTTCCGCTGAGCGTGAAATCGTTCCTCTGGGATTAATTGTTCCATAAACGTGACACGCACTGATTTTCGTACTTGCGTTGAGACAGAAGATGATCCGTATGAAGAACCAATGAAAAATCTTGGTCTGGATCAACGCGAAGCGTCACTTTTATTTTTCCAACATGACTTTTAATATCAAGCACACACCTCTTCTACGTATTCTTTCTGTCTTTCTGTCAGCGAATAAATTCTTTAAGTAAATTCTATATATTAAGGAACAAGATTTGCGCATATTTGAATATGAAATTTCCTGACACTAGAAGAAAATCTCTTGAACCACGGAGTCATACTTTTACCGAGCAGGAGTCAACTACGTACCAATGACTTGAAATCGTCGTCTCATTAAATAAAGATGATCGGTAAATCTAAATGTACAAGTAATGTGCAGCTGTATTTGCGCACAATAAAATATCTCGCAGACGAGAAAGTTGGACGATCGGTCTTCGAGCACATCTTACGCTAACTTCACGCGACAATCGTCGAGCCACAATGTCTCGATTATGTTGTAAACATCGGGGACGCGCATTTCGCGACTCTCAGGCTCGAAATTTCTCAGCGTCATTAGATATCTCTCGTCGTCATGGCCGACCTGCTGAAAGCATGGCTGCGAGCGCGACTGGGCGTGATAATGGATCTCACTCCGGAGATGTTCGGTCGTTACACCAGAGACGGCACCTTGCTCGCGCAGATCCTGCACAACTACGACATTATCGGTAGCAACCAGTTGAGTACGATCGTGCGCACATACGACCCGGCGTTATCCAGGGTGAATCTGAGGACCTTGAGGATCTGGCTGAAGCTCATCAACGTCACGTTGAGCGACGAGTGCATCGAGGCGATCTCTAAAGTAAACTTTCTGTGTCTAAAAACACATTTTCAAGACGCGTCGTGGCGATAACGGCCGATTCATGACACTTCAGGGTAAAGGCGCGGCGGCTCTCGAGCTCTTTTACAGGGTCTACCTCAGCCTGGAGGGCAAAGATCGGCTGCACTTCATCGCCCTGCAGAAAGAACGAGAGAAATTGGCCCCCGCATCCAGCAGGTTCGGCGTCACCAGGGTGTCCGAGGAACCACCTCCCTATCAACCAGCCGAGCATCATCTGTCGAAGCCGCTGATCGAATTCGCCGACACTATCTTATGGCACCGGAACAAATTCTGGAGCATCGTGCAGGCCTGCAAAAATGAACGACGGCGGTTCGAAGCCGAGTATCCTATAGTAGAGCCGGTCGAGTACTTCATCCCGGACGATGTGGTGGATGAGTGGAAGAAAGAAAGTGAGGGACTAGACGAGTTTGCTCACAAACACCCGGCTCGCAAGACGAAGAAGCAGCTGGTGGAGTGTTGTCCTCAAAAGAAGTTCTTCGACGTGTCCTACGCCGAGGACTCCGCGGCCGCAGCAGAGTACGTGGAGTTCTTGAAGAAACGCGGCGAGCGAGTGTTTAAATATCAGGACTTGAAGTTGAAGACGCAGACGACGATGATGGCGGACACCTGGGAGAAGCTGCTGAGGCAGCAAGATAAATCGTTCGACGAAGCCCTTGGCCTGCGAGTGTTAGACCAATCGCGCTACGAGAAGCAGATCATGAGGAAGCTGTGCGAAGTGCGCGATCTGAGGAACAAGGTCGTGGAGAACCGCAGGATCGTCGACGCGATGCTACTGAAAATCTTAGAGAACGAGCAACGGCTGCAGCAGCATCGCGAGCTGGAAACAATGGCGGCGGAAGCGCAAGACGTCGGGATGGAATACTGCAGGATGCGTGAGCTGCATCGGAGGATTCGCGAGGAAAAGGTGAGGGAGAAAGAGAAACAGAAAGTGAAAAGTGGTCACTTCCGTCCGAGGGCAAGCCCTCTAAGGGCTAAGGCGTGACTTGTAAAGTCACGCAAAAATTTGGACATAAAATATTATAAAAAAAATGATTATTACGTTTTGCAGAAAATATAAAAGGAAAAATTTGCGGGCACAGAGAAAAGCGCATATTTCCACTTTAGGCTTTTTAAAAAGACATTAATTGAAGTTGTGCAGGACCTATTAGTGTCTATTAGTGTTCTAAAAAACTGAACAAAATGTCGTATAAAAAATAAAAGAATAAACAACGGATTGTATGAAAAAAGGTACGCAGGTTCGGAGAGATGTACCGCGGGATCTGTCTGGAAATCGTGAAGGATCTCGCGGATATCGCGGTGAAGATCGCCGAGTTTCGCCAGGCCAATGACAGCCACGTGCCTCCTTTCGTCTGGAGCGACTGCAAGACGTTGTTCCTGAGGAATCAGCCGATCTTCGAGTTCGCGGAGTACTTGGACTTGTTCGACGTCGAAGACGCGGTGGAGGATGGGGAGGAAGAGGAGGAGAAAAATGTGGACATCCAGAGAGAAGCGGAGGATAAAGTGACAATAAGGAGGATGAAGAATGGAGAAGTTACGGAGGACGAGAAGGAAGAGGCGCGGCGCACGGAAAGTGGAAGAGGGAAGAAAGCTGAAGACAAACGGAAGCTTCTTCAACTGAAGTTGGACCATCAGAGAGTCCTGGCTGATGCGGACTTTGAAAATTATCGAGACCTGGCATCGCCCTGGGCCGAATTCGCGCCGACGAAAGAGAAAGGACAAGCGAAGGACGAAGACGAGGCCGAAGAGGTCTTCAGACTGGGTCGGCTCGTGCTGGGCTATGTGGTTCATCGTTTGTTGAGGATGCTGCACAGACAACCCACCGAAATCACGACTCGCTTGGCACCGAGAGTCGAGGTCGCGGCCATTGTCTTGGGCATAATGAATGCAACGTTGCTCGAGGAGCTGCGAGAACTGCTGAAGAAGTACAACGTGCACTTGCTGCGGATGGAGGACGCAATCAATCGTTGTCTGGAGAGATACAAGCAGGAAATGGTGGACGTGGAATATATCGATCTCGATGTCATCCCGGCAAAGGCGAGAGACGTCAGGAGGCCGCGGGCCAAGGGCAAGGGGACGAATGCTACGAAGAACCGTCGCATGAAGTTGCCTGAGCGAGCTACGATGAAGAATACGATGACGACGCAACGGCAGAAGGCGGCGGAGGAGAAGCAAACGCAAACTCCGCGGCAGATTCCCTACGACGATCTGCATCCGACTTTAAGCGACGCTGCATATATCGGTATATTCGTGTGATATTCGCTGGGATTCATGCTTGAACTGCTGCACTGCTGCGAACCTCAGTCGTCCGATTCTGTCTGATGAAGTCTGTCTGTTTTGTGAAAATCATACGTGATATTATCCGGCTTGATTATTTCGTTCGTATTTCATTACGGCACTTATTATATTGTTCACATAATACTTTGTTCACATATATTTTGTTCACAATATTTTGTGCACAATATTTTGTTCACATTTTACTAGATCAAGAATCAGTTATATATTTTTCATATTTTTTTAATTATATATATTTTCTCACCAGGATATCAGGATTTCAATGATATTTTATCAAATTAAAGGTAAACTTTCTGTCAGAATACGTATTTAGCAAAAACCCGACGGTAATCACTGTATATGACACCAGGTAAATGGACTCATGAATTTCTCACGTTGGGTCAGCCGATCCCTAACGAGCTGAACACGAAGATACTGATGGAATATCTCAAGGGAATTGGGGACGTCAAGGGCTGGGCATTAATAAATTACCCCAACACGTACGAGCAGATGGCAATGTTGGAGGAAGCGTTGACCGGACACCGGGTGCCTCCCGATCGTAATAAGGTCTTCGATCTCGCGGATGTCAACGTCGAGGATATCGATCCCCCGTCACCTAGAATGCTGTTCGAGGCTGATGAAGTCGACACAATTGCGATATGCGGGTGCGTTCGATTACCTCGTGTCGAGACTACTTACATTCGACTATAATATGGACCTTCAAGGATCTAACGATTCTTACAGGCAATCCAGATTATTGCCGAATTCAATATGTCCCAAAGAAAAATATCTGCCCAATTCCTCGACAACGTTCGTGACGTTGTATATCAAGGCTCTGCCGAAGCCGAAGACTTTAGCCAGTCAAGATGATTCTTCTATGCTCTTGCCCGCTGATGCCACTTCGATGGACGAATACTACGCTGATCGAAATATCGCGTACGGATTCTACTACAACGTCCTCGACCTTTCAGCCATGAAACAGCTGGTCGAATTCATCACGGGCGATCGGTTGGCCGAGAGGACCTTGGAGGAAGCATTGTCCTTGGATCTCCTTGAAGAGATTCCGCGAGATCGGCAGAAACCTCCCATTGACCCAAAAGCAGCTATCACAAAACGTTGGGTACCAAAATCGAAATGGGAGAAGTCGCAACGTGAAGAAAAGAAAGATAGCGAAGCCGTAAGTCGCGATTTACCAGCGGAAATGGGAGCGCAGCTCGCGAGAACTCCTGCTAGACCTGGGGAAGATGGCTGGCAGTGGATGGACTTTCCGCAGCCTCCGCTTTTGTTGGAGACCTTGGCCATGCTCTGGGAGAGCGTGGAGGAGGGCTACGTGGAGAACCTGAAGGAGATACTCTCCTTGAAGAGAATCCACACGTCGACTGTTATTCCTTACAAAGAATCGGTCCTGAGCAACTTGAGGAAGTTCATCGACCGACCCGACAATCGGCAGGATTTGCTGCAAGATTTTCATCGCGCCTTCAATAAGTTTGACGAGGACCTCAGGGAAGACGCGGACGTCAAGTGCGAGCTGCACTGTCGCGTTAGTGAGAAAATTTCGCAATTACGAAAAAGAGAATAGCGCAGTGAAATATGATATAAATTTAGCATGAAATTCTAATATATTTTTTTATTTTGTCTTATTTTCTGTTTCTTTTTTTACCGTATTTTATCGTATTTTCTGTTAATAAATAAATAATCATAAAATAAACATATTAACGTAGAATTGTTGAAAAAAATATTCGGCTGCAGGTCGTCGATTTTCGAGCGGAACTGTGGGATCTCTGCGACACCCGACGACACATAGCCGAGGAAGAGAGGAAGCGCATCCTGCGTAACCAGTGGATCCCGCTGGAAACCGTAGTCCTCGTCAACGTGTACATCGAAATCCTGCAGACGGAGATCGACAGATTCATCGACACCGTGCAGCTCCTCCAAGACTATTACACGTCGATGTTGCAGAAACCTCTGGAGGAGTCGCGGTTCTCCAAGATCTTCCTCGATCGCGTGGAATTGAAGCTGGGTCTTCGAGAAGCACCAAACTCGGGGGCGAGCGACGGACTGATCAACGATGAGGAAAAGGAAACAGCGATCCAGACGAAAGCTTCCTCTCACGCGGCAAACATCGAGCACTTCAAGATAGACATCGAGGGTTTGCTGACCGACGTGTCGAGGATTTTCGATCCCGAACGGAATATCGTGTATGACGTCATCAAGGACACTATCCGACAAGTGCGAAGTGTGGTCGAGTCCACCTCGTCGATCATCACGGAGACGTTGAAGAAAGAGGAAGAAGCTGCAGTCTTGAATGTCGAGTCGAGGGACAAAGCTATCGGGAGTGTTTCGCCTAACTCAACGTTGACCAAGTTGGCGAGAAGAAGCCGCGACTTGGTTGAAGAGTGGCGGTACGCCGTTCAGTTCGAGATCGATCGTATCCGTCGGCGATTGGACGTTTTAGACGCGGCCGCTCGGTCGGACGTGGCTTTCCTTCTGGATACCATGAGGCGGACCTTCCACCATTTGCACGATTACATCGACGAGAGGTCGATGTTCAAACATTAACAACGCGGAAAAAGACACGGTCTCTAAATTTCTCGGAGTAGAATTTCTCTCGAAAAGCGGAGCGACGTTACTGCAGTTACTCGATTTCAAGCGGGTTTTCACTCGTAAAGAATATAAATTCTCCACTCTGAATTATTAAATATTTTCATTCGCGATATTTTCCGACCGAATCGTCGATATCTTTATTTGTAACATTCTCGCTGAATTATAAATGGTCTCCTTCGCAATTGAAGCGTGAATCCGTGAATGCATTCACCGTCGTAGGAACAAATCCACTCTGATAGATTGAAATATTTACTCGCACGGAGTTCACTTTAAGCTTGCATGAAACATTCACTCTTCCGACCCCAAGTGGTAGTATTTTTACCACCGCTTTGAGTGAATTTTCGCTCTCTTTTCGAGTAAGATTTCACTCTCCGACAAATCTAGAGAATCCTGTATACGTTATGCCGTACACGTATATATACGGTATACTGTATACGTCACACACATACGGTATATAATAGTAAAGGAGAAAAATAATTTATAACAGATACAAACGCGAGATCGAGAGCGTCGACGACATGGCGAACGTCTTCTGCTGCGCCATCGAGGAGGCCAAGCCGATTCAGCAGGAGATGTTGCTCGAGGGTGATCGATTCGTCGTGAGGTCGAACGTCCTGATGTTCCCCGACGACACCGAGCGACTTGCCGTTCCCGTACAAGAGTCTTCATCGCCCTTGCGATTTCGAGTGATCCAACTCGCGCGATTACTAGACATCTTCCGACGAGTCGCACCGCACGGGGTAATCAGCAAGCGCGGCTTGGTCTACATCCTGCAGGATCTGGTGTCCTGCGGCGAAGAGGACTGTTATCCGGCCGCCGTACCGTGCGGCTGGCGACAATTGCGAACTCCTGACATCGAGACCCTGGTCGAACGATTGTTCGGCGGCTGCGAGCACATCGAGTGGCGAGAGTTCATCGTGTACGCGATGGATTTGCCTGTTCCGTCGCATCAAGACATCCTGAGGGCGCAAGCGGCCTTTAGACGACAGGATCCCGCACTGCGGGAGGTGATCCCTCGCGATCGCTACCGGTTGACGCTGCTGTGGTTCCTCGAGAATGTCGGGACGTCGGCCGACATCTTCCACGAGTATCTGTACGGAGATCCTGAGGCTCTCCTGGACGAGAAGGATGACTGTAACGATTACAGGGAGATTATGGACACGATGTTATGTGAAGCGGCGCGGTTGGGTGCGCGTACCGTTATCGACTTGGGTTTGAGAAACGACTTGATAGAGACGAGCGAGAATAGCTCCGGGTACGCGAAAAGCTCATTGATATCGATCCGAAAACGCGTCCTGGAAAATTAAACGAGAGCAGGTCCTTCCGAGACTTTAAGTCGAACGATAACGATTGGACAATATTAGGTTGATGCTAAAAGATTTGTCGTGTTCATCACAAATAAAATAAAAAACGAAATTATTCAATTTCGAAAGATTATAATTATTTTTACGAATAAAATAAATATCAACGATTCGACATATTTTAGACGTCTAGCGGGAGGACTTCCTATTTTCCTTTTAAACTTCCAAATTTCTTACAAGAATTTAATAAAAAATGACAAATCTTTCGTAGCAATCCAACATTTACCGAAATTGTTAAATTACGTTTACAGTAGAGACTTAAATTTTCCATTCGACTGATTTCTCGCGACTCAGTTGCTTCGAGCTAATTTTCCACCGGATCAAATACTCTTCAAAGATTATTTATTTACACGACGATCTTTTCGGCGTAATTCGACGTAATGTGATTTTTCCCCGATCGCCGTTCCGACAGCGATATACTGAGGTTGATATTGGCGAAGGAGCTTCTCGGCCACATGTTCTCGGTCGATCGAAACACAGTCAATTACACCGCCATGCTGTTGGCGTTCTGCAAGGACGAGGATCCTCGCGAAGGCCTCGGGAAAGCCTTCACTCTCGCTACGGGTAACAAGATTTGTACCGATCCGGCGGAAGGCGAGAAGTATGTCCAAGAGCTGGCGAAGCGCCGTGCCAGACACCTGAGCCTGACGCATCTGCGAAAGGAAGCCATCGAGGTAAACGATGAAACTCCGAAGAAGCTCGTGCCGAGATACTTGCGAACTTGCGCGAGTTTGCGCTTCCATCGGTCGGTCGCGCGTTTTCGATAATGTCGCGCGAATCGGTATTCCAGGTAGCGCGAGATATTGTGAACTCCTTAATAAGCAGAGCGGAAAAGGGTGCGGCTATACTTGAGCAAAGGTATTCCCGTGAACAAGAGCTGTTCAGGAAACGTCGAGTGATGATCCAGCAGCTGAATGGAAATAGCGACATAGATCCCGCGTCTCTTTTGCCGATGGAAGTGGCAGCCGAGTATCTGGTCGTAGAAGATGTGTCGGTGATCAGCGATGAGCAGGATTACCATTTCGAGATGGAGCAGACATCAGTGCCCGACGAGTATGAGATCGACGAGAGAATAATCTATTGGCTGCCGCGAGATGTTTGCTTGGTAAATTCGTCCGTCCCCACTTCGCCACTCCCTCGCAGACCTTCTCAGTTGGAAAAACTGATTTTGGCAAAAACTATTCAATACGTACTAATTGTGAAGAAAGAGGAACTCGTGTATTGGAGAAACCAATTTGGAGTTTGAGTTGGGAAAATTGATTTTTAACGCCATTTCAAACTTGAAGAATTAATTTTTATTTTAAACTAGAGGCGAAATCTTAATTAGAAAGAGTTGAACCTCTCTGTTATTCGAAACGGTGAACAGCAACATAGTTTAGTATAATTTGATTTCCTTTTCAATTTGCCAACAGTAAGTCATCGTATGTGGAAATAGCGTTTCATCAGAACGCCTTCATTTTCAGACTGTCTTAGCCGCTTGTTTACCGTGGCACGCGTCGCAAGCGGATCTCTTTCACACCTCTCTAAGCCTTCGTGAAACAATAACACGCGTGTACGACGAATTGAAGGACGAGGAGTTGAATGACGAGGAAGATGTGGTTTTAGCGCATCGTTTGATAAACCACAGTTTTATCCTCGAATTGCTCTCCGCCTCGAGCAAATTTGTCTCGAAAAATATGTCAGTTTTGCTCTGCGATATTTTAGAAAATAGATACAACGCGTCTTGAGAGACGAGTGTAATGACGAAAATATAATACTCGAGAAGTATGTAAATATGATATTAAAATTATATATTAATAATTCATTTGAAATATTATATGCGTTTAACTTTTTTGCGACCTGATATGCTCGTTTCATAAATCAAAGAAAATTTAACATGCTGGAACTTCGACAAAAGTTATAATAATGAAGTAGTTTAATAGAATATATATAATTTAATTAGTTTTCGCTATATTACATAAATATAAATCAAAATTCGTCAAAAGTGCTAAAATGTTTTTGATGAAATTTATCTAGTCACTAGACATAAATGAAAAATGTTAGACAATTATAGTTATACCATTTAAAAGGGTGAGGCTGCCTCTTTAATTTTCTTTCTCAAGTAAATTGCAATGAGATAATGCGGCTGATTATCCATTGAGTTACATTACTGAAGAAACAAAAGAGACGTCTGATTTGTGTCGAGTTTTTATCACCTCATTTTTTTAAAGTGAGAAAAAAGTTGCGTACGTGCGTGGTGGAGGAAATCGGAAAAAAGTCGTGGACATTGGCATCGTAGTTCATGTGCACGGTTGTACAGAGGGCGCCTCACACTGGGCTCGGCTAAAAGCGGCCCGTGACCTCTCTTCTTCTTCTCTCTGTTATAAGACTTAAAAATATATATAATGTTACAAGAAAATCGCTGCCATGACCGTTCTCAGGTTTCTCTTCGTTTTTAATCATTTTCATCGCCGCTGCAAAGATTTCCTCCTTCTGGTAAACGAGTTTTTACTTGTTACCGCTCGATGGCGCAAGTCTATTCGAATCTCAGCAAGTAACCTCATAATTAAACCGATTTTTCTGTAAATCTAGAATCTCTGTCCGTACATTTGTCCAACTTGATGTTAAAAAATAAAAAGAAAACTTTGCCTACGTCTATACGTGTTTTCCATGTAAAATCCTCATTTATGTAACTGTACCTTTCTACCGCCATTCTGCTCGATAGGTATAAAGGTGAAAAGCTTATACAGAATCTAAACCTTGAACAGGATTTCTCACGCTGATAAATTCGTCCTGTATAAATATCTGAATGGTAATATAACACGAATTAATTTTGTATTTTATTCTTATCGAGAACTACCTGATAGAATTCCCATAACGTCGCTGGTCTTTACGTCGCTCGTCGTTTACATATCACAGTCGATAAAAATGTAGTAACTTTAACCTCTCCATCCATAATCGGGGAGATATATTGCGTATAGCGTTTTATTCAACACAAAACCACAATGAGCGAGTGATATTCGCAGTTACATCGAAATCAGTTTCTTGAAGATAATATGAGTGTGTTCAGTGTGTCCATCGTCTCTCAACTTTATCCTGCAACTTGCCCAGGCTCGTGTTGCGAGACGAACTGAAACAGAAACCGGCTGGTGTGTTTACATCAACGATAAATCGTGAATGGGAATGTAAGCTATGCTGCAAACTCTTCGTGAGCGTTCTCAGAAACGCAAGAAACTCCTGGCTCAAACGGTGAGCAAAATTTATACTCTGGAGAAAAGGAAATTGTAGCTGTTGCATTTTTAGGTTAAGTTAAAAGCATATTTCTGGCGGGACTCTTGATACGTTTGCGCTTTTGTTTTTGCAGCTGGGGGTTTCTAGCGTAGACGAGCTCAGGCAGATTTTGGGAACGGATGTGGAGGAGTCTCAGAGGAAGAGAGGAAAACAGTTCAATGACAAGTCTGACAATGCGGTCAAAGATTTGAAAGACGATGCAGCACTGACAGACGAGATTGTATACAAAGACTCCTCAACGTTTTTGAAAGTATGTATGTATGTTGAGAGGTTGTACATCACGTTATCAATCGCTGTAACATTGTCTTGTGTGTTTCCAGGGAACCCAGTCATCGAATCCACACAATGACTATTGTCAACATTTCATTGATACTGGCCAACGACCACAGAATTTTATCAGGGATGTGGGCTTGGCCGACAGATTCGAGGAGTATCCCAAGTTGCGCGAATTAATCAAGCTGAAGGATGATCTAATCGCGGAGACCGCGACGCCACCAATGTATCTAAAAACAGACCTGCTGTCGTATAACTTGAAAGAGCTCAATTGTAAATTTGATGTCATTCTTATAGAGCCACCTCTGGAAGAATATCAAAGAACATGCGGCGCGACCAATGTGCAGCTCTGGAATTGGGACCAAGTTAGTCTGTTTTTTTTTTATTTCATTCTTTTATCTTTTTCTTTTTTTAGTGGTCATACTATATCCAAAGAAATGAAAGAAGAAAAAGGGGAGGAGGGTGGAAAATATAGTTTTACATCCTCTATTCGCATGTAGCGATTAGTTTTGGTACGTTTGTGCGCAGATAATGGAGCTGGATATCGGTGAAGTAGCGGCCAACCGGAGCTTCGTGTTCCTTTGGTGCGGTAGTAGCGACGGTCTGGACATGGGCCGGTTCTGCTTGCGCAAGTGGGGCTTCCGTCGTTGCGAGGATATCTGCTGGATCCGTACGAATATTAATAATCCAGGCCACAGCAAGAACTTGGATAGTAAGGCAGTGTTGCAGAGGACAAAGGAACACTGTCTAATGGGCATCAAGGGTACAGTACGACGTTCCACCGACGGGGATTTCATCCACGCGAACGTTGACATCGATCTCATCATATCTGAGGAGCCCGACTACGGCTCTATAGAGAAGCCCGTGGAGATTTTCCATATAATCGAACATTTTTGTCTTGGTCGAAGACGGTACGAAGATGTACGGAGAAAATGATTCGGAATTATCTTGGCTATATTAAATTGAGTAACGTTATTCTATAAAAACGTGTAGGATAAATCTGTGATGTTAATATCCGTTATCCGTCCAGATGTGTGAATACTTGATATAATTCCTTAGGGAAATAAAAGATATGCGGAATCGGTTGGTATAAAAACTAGCAACAGATAATAGATGGATATAATCTGGCCAAGAACTGCAATTTTTATAGTTATTTAAGATTTCATCTTCTGCGTCAATTATTTTAAGATATTTTTGAATAATCATCTTTTAAGAGTTTTTAAATCTTTTTTAAGTAATTTTTAATTATTTTTTAATTAAGTATTAAATATCTTTTAAGTGCTGAAGATTATTTACTAGACAGATCTGGCTGTCCGATTCATGCTGACAACGCTAAAATAAATGATAATAAAAATATACTCTGATGGAATTTCATTTGTTGTAAACAGATTGCGATATAGAATGTTTGTGTATACAAGATATCACGTGTCTTGTAACGCATTCCAAAATATGACAAGATAATTCCGAATATATCTCTCTCTCTTTCTTTTATCCATATGATTTCATACATGTTTGTTGCTTTGTTGTTTCAGGCTGCATCTTTTCGGTCGCGATAGCACTATCAGGCCGGGTTGGCTCACTGTTGGCCCGGAACTGACCAACACCAACTTCAATGCGGACCTGTATCAGAGTTATTTCACCAATGGGCAAATCACCACCGGCTGCACCGAGAGAATAGAAGCGCTTCGGCCGAAATCGCCGCCACCGAAGGGAAAAGTATCCGGTCGTGGTAGAGGAGGTTTCAATCGGGGCAGAGGCAGAGGGAGATAAATAATATCAAATACTATGTGTTCGAATTTTCGAACACGTTATTATTACCATTACTATGTATAAGATGTCAACGTAAATATAAGAAAAATTCACGGAGTACATGTTCGTGACGCGCTGGTTTTCTCTTCTCTTTATAGGATATCCCGAATACTCGATTAGTCTCTTCGAAAAACTCGAAATCAAAGTTTCCAAAACGAAGTTCCAACGTCATAAAGGGGGCTAAATACAACGTCAAATCTGCTTAAAACTAATCACAAAATCAAGTCACATATTTCTACCTATTATATCTATTTAGATTTAAAGATGAGACTTTGATATCCTCTATTGATCAAAAATTGTCATCGTCTCGTTGTCATTCAAGAGCTGAGTGTGTGAAACACAAAAGCCTCAAAGCTTAAAAAAAAAAGACATGATAAAAACACGGCAAAACATGTATCGAGAATTTCAACAAGGAAGCGTGGGTGAACGTTGACGTGAGACGGAAGGGTGAAACAAAAAAAACATGAGGATAGCATGTCGTTTTAATATCAAACTTATTGTTATTGCAAGGTACATTGTGTGTAAAGAACGCACTTGTCATTTACGCATTACATGTAACTTAACATTTTGCGGATAGTAGTAATAGTATTGCCTCTATTTTTTTTCTCTTCTCTCTAACGAACCGTCAACACGATCGAATCGGACTGGACCTGAAGTCGCAGTTTTAAAGGCGGGGAGAGGAGGAGTGCTAATCGGATAAAAGTCGCGTTAGGATTGAGCCGGCGAATTTTGACCGACAATACGAACTACCGCGAATCATTTCGCACTATAAGAACAAACGCGCGAGACACGCACGTGCGTGCGCGTGCATATACGTAAAAAAATAAAAGGAACATCTTTTTCGCGGTTTCTTGTCGTGGGTAACGCATCGCGGAGTTTCACGCGAAGGGGAGAGGGGGGCGCACGGTCCATAAAAAAAAAAAATCCCTCAGTTGGGCGAGAGTAAAAAAAAGAGAGAAGGCGCACATCTCGTCAGTCGTTCAGGAATATCACCGAGTGTTACGCGCGTACAAAAGTAGAAAACATTCTAGAAATAGAAGACGAATGTGCGCGATGTGCATGTCGCGACGTGTCCGCGATTTTTTACTTATTATGGCATGTACTTTCTCGCGAAGGCTTCCTCCTTGTCGCGTCGTCGCCGATCTGATAACCAGTGAGTGACGATAACAACGACAATGAGCCTGTCTCGTGCGTTTCGAATTCCTCTCGGCCGAGAGACGGACGTTTTGCTGTTTACGTTTTCGCGTAAGAACGACGATCGATCGAGGAAAGGACTCGTCGCGAAAGAGTCGATCGAATCGATGTGGACGACGACAAAAAAAATAAATAAATAAAAGGAAAAAGAAAAATATTCAATCGGAGGAATTGAATGGCTCGATCGTCGCTGCCGCGCGTCTGTACGAGGAGAGAGAGACCACCGATAAACACCAACCGACATTTACGTCAATATTGCAATGACTAACTGAACGATGTAACTGTCATGTGCAACATGTGTTATATTATACTCGTATCGCCGAGCGGGGAAGTTGTAATATTGATGTAACTGTTGCTACATCAATATTACAATTGTCACTGTCAGTTGGTGTTCACTGTGTATGTATCGATTCACGATGAACCGAAGAATCGGAGGAGATCCCGATTTCCCTTTTCTGCTTCCTTTCTTTCCTCTTTCCCTTCCCCTTTCCCCGCTTCGTTTTCGCAAGCGCCGAAATTCTTTGTCCTGTTCCTTTCTTTTCTACTTTTCTAACGCGATTCCTTTTTCGCGCACACCTCGCCGCTTCTTCACACGTTGTATCAATCGAAAGACACGCCGCGCGTTCCTTTCGGAGGCTGACAGAAGCGAATAATTTTCTATTTTTATCTGAGATCAAGTCACGTTGCGTTTTGTACTCTATAGGCTGAGTCGAAGTATTAGTTTAATATATCATAAATAGAGCTCTTAAGATTAAATCGTCCTCGTGGCCATGTCGTCGTCGTCCTCGTGGCCATGTCGTCGTCGTCGTCGTCGTCGTCATCGTCGTCGTCGTCGTCGTCGTCGTCGTCGTCGTCGTCGTCGTCGTCATCGTCGTCGTCGTCGTCGTCGTCGGCCACATCGCGACACGCGGCCCTGATTATTATTATCGGAGAAACGAGCACGCTGACTTACAAAGTAGTTTAATTAATCCCAGTAAAGCTTCCGGTAGTGAAATCTATCTGAGATGGGAATTCTACGTTCACACTTATCGAATTCGAGTATGTCTATTTTTTTTTTCTTTTTCCTTTCGCGCGGAGACAGATATCCGATGTCGTCGGGGGGAGGGTAGGATGCACTTTGTAACGCGAAATGTTTAATGTCTAAATAGCTCCTACACACTTGCGGAATATGTGAGATATTGATTGATGATTTTCTTTTATTACACTACATAACGAAAGATATCTCTCTCCTTCTACCTCTTCCTTTTCTTTCTTTCCTCCTCTTCTATTTCCGTTTCCTTTTTTTTTCTTCTTTTCTGGCTTTTACCTTTTTCATCGATTAATTAAATATACTAAGAGACGCGTGATAAGTCATATGACGTTACACATTTATCGCTACTTTCTTATCGATCTAACGTAAAAAAGGAAAAAAAAAGAAAAGATCATCTATATCGTAATTCAGCTAAATTGATCTTATTACGTAGCCTATCGTTCTTTCGTAACGCGTCTCACGCGCAATGCTACGCGTATGTTCTTCTCTTTTTGCTTTTTGCACAACATCGTTCTCTACGACGTTCCGTCGTTGTTGATCCACGTCGTAAATACACACGGCATGAAAATACGAAAAGGAAAAAAGAAAAAGTAATAAAAAAATAAAGAGAAAAGATCGGTAGAGTATTTAAAAGAAAGAAATTCTTGTACTACACGCGTTGACATAAATAAAAAATACACATACGATCCGATCCAATCTGATAATAGAGATAACAAAGCGCACCATTCCTGCGTAGAAACAATTGTATTTACGTTGCTAAACACCAATTGCGCATGTCAATCAACAATCATCACCTATCGTCATCGTTATTGTTGTTCTGCTTATCGCCTCAACACGATCATGCTAAGAACGGATGATTCTTTTCTACGGAGAAATTATCGGACAAGTTAATCCGAGCGCAATCTCGCCGAGTAACTAACACGATTGGTCTCACTCGACCTCCTCGGCTTCGCTTAATTCTGACAACGAAAGAAACGGCAATATATAACGTAAAAATTAAGCCGACACAAAAAGTCGAACTTAACAATAATAATAATAATAATAATATTAATAATAGTAATAATAATAGTAATAATAATATCAGCGCGCGAAAATACAGTTGCGACCAAGAAATCGAGCATACATAATCTATGTCTAGATCGAATGTCAATCATGTATGCGAGAGGACTCCGAAAAGGAGACGCTCTCACGATGTCGAATTTACAATTTAAGAGAAAGGAAAGCAAGTCGGATACACGTCGGAGAAAGTGCAAATAAATAAATTACGCAAGCGCAAATATTACTATTGCTCTCTTCTTCTCCCCGAGAGTGACTTTGAATAAATTAAAAAAATAAAATAAAGAAAGGAAAAGAAGACAGAGACAGAAAGAGAGGGGCGGGGGGAGAGAGACACACACATACACACACACACACACACAGAGAGAGAGAGAGAGAGAGAGAGAGAGAGGGAGGGAGAGAGAGAGAGAGAAAAAGAGACAGAAACAGAAACAAAAAAAGAATACGATTCGTCTCGTTTACGTGCGCGTTGCGTTGCATAAGCCGTACATGCACTCGTTTGCACAACGATTTACACACGTGTGTTCCGATGAAGTTATAACACGTTGAATGTTCACGATTGCAAGCCACTACTCACGAACTCGAAGTGACAATACACGAGACATCTGACGTTACAGCTGCAACGGAGGGTTCGGCAGAAACATAAATATCTTGTGATATTATGCACTCTTGTCTATGAGATAAAAATATAACAAAGGACCGATGTTTTCGTCATATTATATATAATACAGATATATATTGCGCAACTTTCAGGAGAAATGCAAATCTTTTTCTTATGCATTTATCATGTGATAGTATAAGATACAAGTAAGAAACCTAAAAATGTAACAAGGAGCCGCGCTGCTTATGCACGTGATGTCATACCAGGCAAATCTGCGAGAGGAGCGCAGCTCGCAATCATGACAATTTGACGCACACTTAATTTATCGACAAAGAAAAGAAAACTGAAATAAAGAAAGAACGTACGCAAGCCATTGTGCAAGTACGAGTGCACGAGACAACACTCCTTCGAGACTTTCGCTCGTCGTATTTCGTGCGAGAAATCGATCCGTCTCCGGCTGCGAGAGAGACCGAGATGCGAGAAACAATTCGCTCTTTGCCGAATGTTCGTTCTTACAAAAGAAAAAGGAGCCTAGCTAGGCACTTTCCCAGTAATGGACGGCTTTTGCACAGAAGAAACCGAGCGCTTTGCCTCACCTCGCATCGTCTTACGCGCGCGCAAAGAAAAAGAGCGCTACTTCTTCCTAATTAATTAAATTTAATTCCTCATTAAATTATTCGACGTAAAAGTAATTTTCACAAAAAAAAAAAAAAAAAAAAAAAATGAAAAGCACAGCCGAAACGAGAATTTGTCCTATAACTGGACATGATATTCCCAGCTTAAAAATTTAATTATCAATATATACGTACACCGGCTACTACCTGAACGTGATTAAAATTCAACTACAATCAAAATCGCTTTATGTATACATGTAAGAAAGCGAAAGTGACATTGCGCGACCAATTTGTCACTCATTCTCTCTCTCTCTCTCTCTCTCTCTCTCTCTCTCTCTCTCTCTCTCTCTCTCTCTCTCTCTCTCTCTTTCTCTCTCTCTCTCTGTCTCTCTCTCTCAATTAGTCTCCCCCACAAACGCTTTTCTCCGGGGAAAGCCATTTCCGAAATTGCTTAAAATTGGCTGGCCTAGTTCCTTTTGTATAAAAGTCGTCCATGTGTTGTGTGTGTGTGTGTGTATGTGTGGGTGCGTGTGTGTGTGTATATGTGTGTGTCAGTGTGTACATGTATCACCACGATCGCGTCACGTGACGCGACGAGTTTTATATATTAAATTAATTAGTCAATTAATTCTAAATCATTACGACATAACACAATTCCTATCCGCGCGAAGCATCAGCGGTGCGTATGCGTGTAACTTCGTGTGTATGTTCATGTACCGAGAAGTCGGTAACGTTGGCGGCGAGGAGGATCAGGCGGAGGGGGGGAAGGGAGGGATGTAACGGCAATAATACATGCATATGGTGATGGATGTGTGGCACAGGCGGGAGAGATGCGATGGTGGTTATTCTTTTCTTTTTGTTTCTTTTGCTTTTTTCACCTATCATTCGCAACTGATCGTTCGTTCGTTCGATCGATCGATCGAGCGACCGGCCGACCGACCGATCCGATCATTCGAGCGGTGCGTCGTTGCGCGTCAGAGAGGCGGTTGATCGTCAGTGAAGAGTGTTTTAGCTCTGATCGGCCCCACCATCAGTCAAGTCTCAACAGTCACAAATATGTCGACTCCCCTGCAAGCAGACCTATCGTCAGTCTTGGAGAAAGGCGCGCGCGATGCGAGGTGTATCGCGGATTTTCTAGGTCAACCAACGGTCTCTCCCTCTCAACGAGGAGGACCGAGGGGACGGTCATGGACGGGCGGGCGAGAGGGAGCGGCGAATTAACGTTTATGTTTATGTTTATAATAAGCGAGAATAAGCGAGAATAAGCGAGAAAGAGGAAGAGGCAGAGCGAGAGAGAGAGAGAGAGAGAGAGAGAGAAAAAGTGAGAAAAATAAAAAAGAAAAATCAGAAGAAGGCACTTGTGTGTTGGAAAAACACGGCGCTACTGATCTCCAGTTTTCGCGGAGTTCGACGCGTTGCCTCTCTTTCCGCATGGAAAAAAATACTCGGTTCTGATTCTCTGTCGTCCGGCGACCAAACGAAAATCCCCGGTTATGGAGGAAATTCCTGTAGAGGAAAAGTCCTATACGGGACTATTTATTCTGTCTAATCAGTCGAATATTCTCGGTCATCTTAGTGGCGAGTTTCAAAGCAGTCGAATATTATAGACGAATGTTCTCCCCATGCAGTTGCGCGAATTGAGATTTCTCGTTGCGCGCAATTCCGCGAAAGAGAGGAAGCCTTTAAATTGCAAATTCGATCTGCGCTCCTCACCGTCGGTAAGGGAACACGAACACGTACACACACACATACACACACACACACGCATTTGTATTATTCGACTTTCTTCTCGGGGTGCTCTAAATATATAAACACAACTGCGAATTGGACCGTTCTCGGGCGGGGGTGAGGCGCGCGTCGAACTCCCGGGGGAAATTATTATGCGGGCGAAATAAGTGTGTTCCGTTGCGCTACACTTGATTCCGCGCGAGAAGTAAACTTCTTGACAAGCTAGCTAGCTCCTCTGCCTCCTCCTTTTGACTTACCGTTTCGTAAAACGCAATGTGGAGGTAATCTGATTGTGGGTGAGAGAACGCGCAGCGTATAAAATCGCAGACGCGCGCGCGCGCGCGCGTTTACATCGCTCACTCATCTAGATTCGCGGTGTCTCGTGCGCTCTTTTGAGGAACTCGCTCGTTGCAAATGTTTCGATCGCAGTAAACATTAAATGTGGGAGGGTCAATCGTGCGTTCTCGTGCGTTAGCAGTCGTAGTTAGCAGCTCGACCCGACAGCCGACGGACGTTGTCGTGTGTCGAGGCTCGCGACAGCAACGACACACAATCTAGGACGGTGACATAATGATGATGATAATAATAATTGCTGAGATATCGAACACATATTTTTCTTTTCTCGGCCAGAGGACAGGCTTGTGTAACCGCAAGTCCGTGGATATCCGTATGAGATAAAACGCATAGCTCCGGCCGGACGTGCTCGAACTTCTTCGTAAGTTTTCACGAGCGACCGCACGAATAATTGCAGTTTTTCGCTAAGCGCAGTCAGACCTTGCACAACATAACGATATTGGATTAATTAGAAAAACGAAATCGAAGAAAGGAGAGAGAGAGAGAGAGAGAGAGAGAGAGAGAGAGAGAGAGAGAGAGAAAGAGATAGAATTAAAGAAAGTGACAACTCGCTCGAAAGAATACAAGGAATATTCTTACACAAACTGCATCGTGTAACATTTATTTGTCAGTAACTAACGTACGTAATATTCACAATCTTATGACAAAATCTTATTCGTCGACACGGATGGTGCTTATAAAAAATCGGCGAAGTAAAACACACCTTTTTTTATTCTTACGGCTTTGTTCTCTGTTTTTGAACCTCCTCCTCCCTTTTCTTTTCCCTTCTCTTTAATCGGATCGTCCCCGCGCGCTAACCGATCTAGAAACGTCTCTCGTCATCTAAATGAGAAATTCACCGGTAATTCGTAAGCGTCAATTAATACTCACAATATGTAAATATGAGATCCTATATATTTTTATACGCACGAGCGCGTGTAGGTACGGCACATACGCACCCGCGTCCAATTTAATAATAAGGAGAAAGTACAAAAATACGTTTATCGCGTAAATGTAAAACGGCCGGGTGTCCCGGGTGTCGGGCAGACGCGCCGTTCGAGATGAAATGTACAAGGGGAGTTCTCGTCCGACGTGTTTGCGAGTTCTCACCAGCACGAGGCGCGCCAGGAAGATCGGGGAACCGGAAGAAGAAATGTATTCTCCGAGCGCGGGGTCCGGTTGTTTTCCTCTCTTTTCTCTCTTTTTAGTTTCTTGCTTTTTCCCTTTGTTTTTAAATTTAAACGACATTATTACAATCGAAGATATCGCGGTAAGAGAGCGAATGTGTATGCGTGACGTGATCAATGAAACTCGCGACGAATGATCTTTTCTGGTCGAATTCTCCCGAGTGTTTTCTCGGGTGTTGAGCAAAAGTCTGGACTCCAGATCCGCGCGAAAGCACATCTCTGCCGCGTTCTCGCCCTTCTCCTGCGCCGCCCGATGTAACAAGCGCGATTCTTACGACGTACAAGATCGAGGATCGACGACGCGGTATCGCGTTGTGTCATCACCGTATATATATAGAATTCTACGCGCAAGTAGGAGTAACGGAAACACATCAGCGGCTGTATAAAAGTCGTGTTCGCGCAACTGTTCGTTCGTGGTGCTCCGGTGTGTTCCCGGCACATTCGGGCCGGGGTGGACAATCGAGTTGTGTGAGAGTCGTCCGCTACTGAAAAATAAGTTTCTCGCGCGCTACCACTCCCTTTTACTCGTCTCGGGCACGCAGCGTTAACTCGACGTGTTATCCTATCTATCGGCGAGGGGAAAACACGCTTCTCCTCGGCGGTTTCTGCAACTCGCCTCTGCAACGCGAGCACCAAGGGTCGCTTTTCTATCACTATGCAAAGGTGTACGTAACAATCGCTGGTACACAGGCATAAAATAGCGAAGGAATCGGATGACCGTCTGCTTTCCTCTCTCGTTTTGCATTTTCTTTTTTTCCATTTTCTTCTCTGTCCCTTTTCTGTTTTCTCCCGCGCACGTACTTTGTACAACGTCATTATCGAAAAAACGGTGGCCTCGTTGATTCTCCCTCCCCCTCCGTGGGTGGTTTCGCTATCGACGGCACGGAAGCGTGTGTGGTGCATCCCCTCTTCCCGCTCACTCCGCGCGGGAACGAGCCCCGCCGAACCGGGCGTCTCTCCTTTTCTTTTTTCGATTAATAAACGATACAGACCCTCCGCGAGAACCTCTTTTTTCTTCTCTGAATTTATTCTCAAATCGAGCTCGTCGAATTGTATCTTCGATACTTGGAAATGTCATGTTACCGATAGTCTAATGGTCATAAAATATAGTGGAACTTTGACCTGGCTGAGCTCGCAGCTGTTTAACTTGTGGTTTCATTCTATGAAAATTGTCCTGTATTTTAACTCAATCGTAGCCCCGGTGTCTCGTTTATAGGACACTTCTTTTTTATTGAACATAAAATCTCTCTCTCTCTCTCTCTCTCTCTCTCTCTCTCTCTCTCTCTTTCATTTGAATAATATAAAATTTCGTTCTCATGTTCACAGTGCTCAATTTTCCCGCCTAAGAAAAAATAATTAGTAAAAGTTAAAAATTAGGTAAAAATTTCCTCCAGTACTCTCTTGTATTAATTTGAAATGAATAGACTGATTTTCCAATTAAAAAAGATTTTTTAAACAACCATGGCCTTCAGTGGGTTTCTTTAACGAAGAAACTGTTTCAGAGGAACTATAAAATTCGATCAATGAATAATACAATGAGTCGATATAGTTCGAAGTTCGCGGGCAAACATCGTTTCAAAGGCAAGTCGCCGCGACAAATCACTAATCTTTCCTGTAGGTTTTATTAATCGAAAAAATCGTATCTAGTCGCGAGCTCTCCTCGGCGATTACGCAACAGTCAACGACCTCCGAACCTGGGGTCAAGTAAGAGTGTAAATGAAATGCAGGAAAAGGTGCTCGTCGAATGTCCACGTTCGCGTGAGGAGATGACGCTGACACGCTCTGAGAAACGACTGGTCGCGGTGCACGACCGATACGAGTTGTATCTCGCAATTATGTGGCGCTCAAACAATGCTCCGCAAGTGTCGCCGATGCGGATCGGAACAACGAAAATTGCACTGGAAAAAAGTTGGTGATTGCCGAAGAAGCTGAGCCTGAGAGTTTCAGCTGTGAACACGTGAACCTGCGCAAGAATCCCCGTAGATCGCGCAACGGAGATCCTTGCGCGCAAGACGTATCTACATATTCATACATTGTATGTGTATGCGTGTGCCTCTATTAAACATTCTGTAAGCTAAAATAGCGCTGAACATTAAATGGGAAAAATGGGATTTCGTTTGTACGCTCGCGCAGAAGTACTCTCGTGCCTTTCTTGGAAAATATTCATCCTCGAAAAGAACCGTCGCGCGCACAGGAGAGACGAAAGATTTCGGGGATCGACCGAAATTTCCGAATTGTATAACAGTGGAAAAGTGTCCGCGAATATAGTAACAATACGTGTTCCTCTTTTAACGCGCGGTGCGTCACGAGATAGTCGTAATAATTTTATCAAAGTACAAGGCTGTGCGCGCGCACGGAGATAATCCCGGAAAGGTGTCGCGAGGGACTTGCCTTGGCTGTGAATTCTCCGACGAATTCAACGATCACTTTTTCGATCTCGGCTTCACACCGAGACTGCGCGTTATTACTAGTCAATATTGAACTCTACTATACACAACAAATTTTGTTTCTACCCTCGCGAGATCTCGCTCGACTGTGAGTGTATGCGCGAAAATTTAACAGTGAATGAGAGAGAAAGGGGGAGAGAGAGAGAGAGAGAGAGAGAGACTCTCGCGGGGATGCACGATGAGAACCGGCTGTTTCAGCGAAGAAAATCGATGGCGGATATTCCACATATTATTTTCTCTCTAGACGTTATTATTGACTTATATACGATATTTTATTCTTATGAAAATATTCGTTTCTTTACAGCATTATCTTCTTATTTTTCTTCTTCTTTTTCTTTTCTTTCTCTCTTCTTCATCTCAGTCCATATAGTTCATATTCATATATAAACATGCATTTCCGCTACGCCATATAGCCCGTTCATTTGTTTTTTGACCGTGCTTTCTTTCTACTTAACGGACACAACGTTTCTATATTTGTCATTTTGAGAGGAGTTTGGTTGTGTGTTGTATGTGTGTATATATATACACAGACAAGTACATACTTGCGCGTATGTACGTACTTGTCAGAAAAATGAAACGGAACCAAGAGAAACCATTGATCACAGGTCTGTGCAAAGAAAAGTATTATAACAGATTTATATTGTATAAAATGTGTGCCGTTGATTCATCGACAGAATCTCCAAAGTTAATGCAAAACTAAAATCTCGAGTCGCGTTCGATCGAATGCTATTCGTGCTGTCAGAGTAATCCATGGTGAGATCTTTTGTTTTCGTCGCGTTTAGATTAAAAAAGCATATCGGAAACGCACCGATTATAGTTACGCGAGAATTTAGAAACCCACTCGTGACAAATTGTAAAAATCGTACGTTCAATGTACAAGCGGCGCCACTCACACATACAGAGTTTTCAACAATTTCCGTCTGAGTTTCCGCCTCACGCGGACAATTTTCGCTATGGATAATTCAGTCGTGTGACGTCGCGCTATTCCCTAACAGAAATGTCGACGATGTACAATGATCTTTACACATCACTTGCAATCTTCGCATGTCGTAATCTTCACGTCGACTTCACTCGACATGTCGAAAATTGTTTGTGTGTTCGACACCCATTCGACAAGCGGAGGAGAAAGAAAAAGAAAGCATCATCGTGTCATGCAGAATGATATGAGAGCTCGACGTTGTTCAGAAACGACAAAACTCATTTGAGAAGAAAAAAAAAGGAAAAAGAAAAATAATGCACAACAAAGTGTGGTTACACGAACGGTAAGAGTTATTAGTGAATCTGTGAGAAGAGTACGTTAATTTTGATTAGATTCTTACACGGACAATAAATACTCTCTCGCTCGCCGCTGCTTCCGCTTCCAGTTCATCGTCCACTAACAGCACTCACACTACAATGCACTTAAATCACTCTCGCAAAACCTAATCTTCAATCGCTTCGGCTCGCGCAACAAGATCACGCGAAATCATAATCAATCGTGACGGCAAGATAGCGGTTAGTATCGATTTCCCTCCCTCCTTCCTTCTATCCTTCCTTCTTTCCATCTATATCCTTCCTTTCTTCCTGCCTGCCTTCCTTCCTTCCTACCTTTCTTCTTCTTTTTTTTTGCTTTTTCTTCTTTACGTAGAAAAAAATCACAATGGCTTCCTTTTATGTAGCGTAAACAAAATGCTAACTCAAGTACAAAAGCTTAAATGTAATTAAACGTAGTAGACGCCGAATGTGTGTGTGTGTGTGTGTGCGTGCGTGTGTTGTCTCGGCGATGATAACGGATGTAAGTTTCTCGCGGTGTTGTCTCTGTGTAACGCGCTACATATAATGTTTGCGTGGCACGCGCGCATATATGTATACGTATATTATATATAATACGTGTCTATGTGTGTTGGTGTGCATGTGTGTGTATGTGTGTACGTGTCTGATAATTAAAATGCCAATGACACCGAAGTCGAGAAAGATGATTAGGGGGTGATTGGCGATGGGCTCACAAAAGATCTATCATCCCTCCATCTGATAGAAGACGGTACCGGCCGACGCGCTGGCCCAAGTCCACTAAGGGTGAACAGACACAGAGAGACACAATCGGTCAGTCATCAGTGTTCACACAGAGGCTTATCTTCGACGGCTGTCTTACACATGTAAAGGACGACGGTGGAGGGCAAAAAAATGCTCTTCGCACGCGCGCGCGCGCGCATGCGCTCTCATCAATCAACGCTTGCTTTCGATTCTTTTTGCTGCCGATTGTTCCCGGGAGAGAGAAAAATCGCACGATCCATCTCGTACGAGCGCGGCGATACGAGCCTGTACTTTCGAAATATGCATTCATCGGATATATACTTCGTTCTCGTATCGTTTCAGGAAGATCGGCCTCTACAAACGTCGAATTCGTTCGCGTCACCTCCTACACCCTCACCCTCACTGTGAAGAAACGTCATTCGTTCCGCTTGAAAAATCGCCAGCGGATGCTCCAATGATAATAATACGACAAATATATCGATAACAGTAACTTGCAATGATATACGCATTCCGACTACATGCAGTGAACATACATACAGTGCAAAAATAGAGATAGGAAAAGAGACAGAAAGAGAAAAAGAGAGAAAGAAAAAGAAACAATGACGCGCCAAAATCAAGAGAGAAAGAATGTTCGCGGCGCCGTTGCATCTCGCGATAGAATCCGCGCTTAATGATGTCGTTCGTGCAACGTGACTGCGATCTAATAAATAGCGCAGTAACGCAAAGAGAAAAACGAATACGTAATGAGTAGGTGGGAGAGTTTATTGGGATCGCGACATGGTTCGCGAGATGTGACATTTCTACGTGAGAAAGCACATGCGGTGATGTGACAGTGAGATGAGATGGATGGAAAAGGAAAAAAAATGAGCTTCACGAAATCCGTATTAATCTAAAAACATACACGTTTCGGACGCGCGACGTTCCCAACAGGCGCGCGGGATTATCATACATAGAAAAACGCGATGGTAATTATGCGAGAGAGAGAGAGAGAGAGAGAGAGAGAGAGAGAAAGAGAGAGAGAAGTAGAGAGTGGGTAAGAATATATATATTGTAGGGAAGAAAATATTGTCCGAATATAGGATTGAAAAAAGTAACATGTATGTTCTCTACATAGAAAGATAGGCGGCGCAAATAGAAAATATTACAAAATGTACAGTATCATGTACTCGTGTGTAATGTATATGCATATATATATATATATAATAATGATGATAATAATAATAATAATAATGATAATATCTTATCCTTAAAAGTACAAATTACAGAAGTACATTCGTAACATTACACTGAAAAAGTCGTTAACATCTTAATTATACACTAGGCAATCATAAAGACGATTCTCGCGATCTGGGGGTGTTGAGAATATAGCAACGGTATAACAGCAGTAGCGTTTTCTATAATAGTGACACAATTAATTGTGCTAATACAATATACTCTACCAATGATACGACTAATAATGATGAGAACGAGACAGAGATAAAGAGAGAGAAGGGGAGAGAAAGAGAGGTACAGAGGAGATAGCAAAAGAAAGAGAGAAAGAAAGAAAGAGATAAAAGGAGAAGGGAGGGTGTACGATAGTATCACAAAATAAAATAATCATTAAACAGTAAAACAGACACGTTGCTCACAGATCTTACACACGTTTCAAACGTCATAACAATCTCTTCGAAGACGCGACTATATAAATTACTTGCATGCAACGGGAGACGAGATACACGAGAGAACAGCGTTAGAGCAGAAGGAAAAGAGACGGTAGTAAAGAGAACAGAGAGAGAGAGAGAGAGAGAGAGAGTAAGAGGAAGAGACGAGAAGACATAAGAGAAGAGAATGTAACTGGGCATTCTCGAGATCCAAATAATCCCGTTCGACGTCGGTCGTCGAGAAACCAGAGAACCAAAGCGAATCATTCCCGACGTTCGCTCTGTCCGTCGACAAACGAACACGACGAGACAGGACGATCCGCGATGCATTCGACACATCCATGCGTACCGAAAAATATCGCACACCGGGCACAAATGTGTCCTCGACACCTACACGAACACGAGTGTTGAATAAAATCAAAGGGGGGGGAGGAGAGGAGAGGAGAGGAGAGGGGAGTTTGTCGCGAGATATCCTGGAGCCGAGAGCGTCTCCGGAAAATCCACACGCAGTGGAATATATGCATATGTACAGATCCCACAACTCGCGCGTAGTCGTAATTTCAATGACAGACTCCTCTTCGGGCGATTCCAAGTCGATCTTTTCAACTGTCCACGTTCCGCCGCGAATCTTCGTCCGAATAAATTTACCTCGCGCGACGAGTTCTTCCGCGCTAATCCTTCCGACTCGCGCGCGGATGTCCCGACGTTCCTCGGCCAAGAAAAATTGGCTTGGAAAAATCGATTTGAAAAGCGCGCTGGCGAATTCGACGTTGAAATTAAAGCCGGCGGGCTGTGTGACATCCTCTACGTATACTCTCTACGAGTCGACCTGCCGAATCGGCTCCAACGAGTACACACATCGGCGTAATTCATTGTTACATATTTACAAATCAAATGTGTCTCGCGAATCTTATTCTAACTTGAAGGTAGGAGGGGTACATGGGCAAGGGGAGATATAGATCTTGAGAACTATAATCGCACGATGCTCTTCGCGAACTATGAACTTCGCGAGCTTTTCCATCACGTTTGAACAGGCAACTAATATTCACACATTTCCACGCGCGTGTGAAAAATTTTGACCGCGATTACAGACGTTCCTGGTCGTCCTCACGGAAAAATCTCACACGGACATTTATCTTATCCTTATTCAGAAGCTCTAACCAAATTCTAATTATACAATAAATATAATTGTCTCCTACGTATTCACAGAAATACGGCGGAACGTATAGAGTGAGTGAGTGTGTGTACTCGATTGATTGATTGATTGATTGATTGATTGATTGTTTGTTTGTTTGTTTGCTTGTTTATCTGTCCATTTGTCTCTTTTACTTTTATCGTTGGAAACAAACTCTGCTACCAAGAAAACGACGGGAGACACCTGAAAATCTTCCCGCTCTTTATATTTTTTTTCCTTTTCATTCTTTTCACTCACTTTTCTCGCTAATATGTAAATATTACTAATCATCAATGACACCGTGTTTATGCGTGTGTATCGACCGAGTGCCATTAAAATCTGGTTCATCGTCGCGGAAAATGAAACGCGCGATTCGTATTTTCACCGTATCACAAATCCAGCCTTGTATGTGTACAAAGAGATAGTTCTTCGGCTTTATAATCCGATAAAGTAATACTAAACGATGCTTATTCGTTCGTTCTATATTGTGCTAATCGAGAGAATTACATTTACTAATGTATCTCTATTTTAACAATTTCTCACCTAATTAATCTAGCGAAAAAGAAACTGCAAACACTCGATAGAGACAATTGCGTGATAACTATTTGTTCAATCCCGAAGCCGATGCGTGTTGAATGTGTGTTCGTCAATTATATGTATTTATATTTTCTATCGTATGTATATCTATATACACGTATTATGAATATTTACATACATTCGCAACGAAAGTTACGTATGTATCTAACTCTAAGTGTAATCCTGTCTGTATACATTAAAAAGCAATATAGACAGTAGAAAGACAATCGGTTTTTAAATCTACGCTCAGATTTTCCCTTTCCTCTTTTTTTTATCTACCTTTATACGACGCTGCCTGGTGTGTCACGCGTTTCGTTCCTCTTTCCTTTTCCTGAACTTTTACTATTTGTAAGTCTGAGTCCCGTTTGATCCGCGTTTGTGTTAGCGTTGTAAACCGAGTAGAAAATCGCTATCTCTAGTCGGCAGCACCCGCGGCACTCGCATATAAATCCCCGACGGTTTAACGAACGTACAACGTACATATATAAAAGCTGATCTCTACGTAATTTGTACTTCGTCACGATAAACGATAAACAAACATATATATATATGTATATACATACATATATACATATATACATACATACATATATATATATATATATAACCTTCCTGTTGTGAGCTGTAAAGATCTCGGCAACCGCTTGGAAAAAATTCAGTTTTAACACCGCTTTCTTAAAACTGAATTTTACCACCGTTCGCTCCGCGTTGTTGCGCTTCTTTTTTTTTTTCTTTCTCTTTCTTATCCCGTTTATCTTAACAGCGCATAAATTGTTCAAGAGTTGTACTACGATTTACTTTGGTGGACTATAAGTAACTCTGTCTGTCTATCTGTCTGTCTGTCTGTCTGTCTGTATGTTACGGTCTGTCTCTGTCGCGTGTATAATGGCTGTGTGTAGGTGTGTGTACGTATGCATGTATATATGTACGTGTGTGAAGCTACATATACGTCTTTACATTAGTCAAACGTAATTAACCTTGCGTGTCTGTAAATTCTTCGTTTACTCTCAGACATCTCTCAAACGTCTACATATACAATGTATATATACTATGTATATATAATATAATAAAAATGTATGCGTATCACTTAGATATAATATAATCACAAGAAAAATGGTCAACAAGGGTTATCCTACGAGGAGATAGAGTGCTCCGATTGAAGTGAGGAGGCGCGCGTTAACGCGAGCTCAAAAATTCGTGTTCAGAGGATACCCAAGACCTCGGATATCGCACAGCCTGTGACAGCTCTCTGTGTGGTATGTGTGTGTGTGTGTGTGTGTGTGTGTGTGTGTGTGTGGTGTGTGTGTGTGTGTGTGTGTGTGTGTGTGTGTGTGTGTGTGTGCGTGTGTGTATTCCGTATTCTCCTTCTCTTTCCTTTGTACCAACGCGATTCTCAACTCCGGTAAAGCGACAGAGAAGTTCGATTGTGTGCAAGCATATGCGCGATTCCGATAAAGAGAAATGCGCACGGATCACTGGAGAATCAATAAATCGCCCCGCGTTCTCAAGAATGATGCGAATTTCGAATTAAAGAAAAAGAGGAACAAAAATGAAAAGAGAGGATGTCCCGTTGTGAATTACGTTACAAAAATTTTCTTTTATTGAATCGTTTGGATTTGTTTACGAATAATTGAGATACAAGTTACTGATTCTTTCTCTTTTCTTTTTTTTGGACAATTTCTTGCGCCGACATCAGCGTACCAAATTTAGTTGTTACGATACAATTTCGAAGATTCCGTTTAGCAGATAAATGACCTATCTGCAATTGTTGAAAACTGCGTGATAATTTCACACGTTCGAGATACACACGAGTCGCGCCAGAGCGAATTGCTCGGCGATCGTGTTCGCGGTGGTTTGTCACTTCGTTACGTGTCGAAATAAAAGGATCGCGTCGTTGTCACAAATGTCATAACTAGGGCCCGAATATGCATCTCTCTCCGTCGCGAGAATTACGTTACATCGGTTACGGCGTCACTTTCCGAAAGTAAGCCGATCGATTTACATAAATCGCTCCGGAGAGTCACGAACAAGCGCGAGTCGGTGCTCTCAATGACATCAACTGCATGATCGAGCATTACGCGAACAATCGCGACTGCGACGGTCGACGCGGATTCTATAGCCGGTAAGATACGAATCGTTATTGTGGAAAAACTAATGTTCATGGTCCCACGATATGGTACCGAAGAGAAAGAAAGAGAAAAGAGGAAGAGAATGATATATATATATATATATACACACAAAGAGATATAGATAAAAAAGAATGTGAAAGACGAAATGTACAAAAAGAAAGAAGGATGGCGATTACATTATAAAAGAGAAGAAACAAAGGAAAGCGACAGATTCGGGTCCTAGTCATCATTCTATGCGTACGAAGCGGTTAAATAAACGCGCGAAAGGAAAGAAAGAAAAAATACATCAATCATGTGCATAGTTCCGCGATTTCGCGGAGAGAACGCGTAACGCGCGCGCGTGTCGTGCGATTTCGCGAGGAAAAATAGTTTGCATATGTGTGTTGTGTAATGTGTGTGTGTAGAGTATGTGTATGTGCGCGCGCGAAGTACCGACGGAGAGAAAAACTGCTCTTTCTTAAGTACCAGAAGCGAGCTAGCTACTAACTACGTGTCAAGAGCGGCCGAACGCGCGAACACGGAGGCGCACTTCGCGTTTGCGCCGGCCACGCTCTGCCTGTTACTGTTCCTGTTCTTGTCGCCGCGCGACAGCAAGCTTTTGGCGGTCTCTTTGAGACTGAGTCGCGGATTAGCGGTAACGTGTGTACGGCTACTGCTGTGTGTAAGGGGATGGTGTTGACGGTGGTTTACCACCAGAGATGCAGAGGACTCACCAGAATCCCAACCGTCCTCATCGCCGGTGGTGTCGCACTCGCTGCTGTCAGCCTCGCTGGACTCGCTCGACGTCTCCTGCCCGGACTGCACACCGTCCCCGGTTCTGTTCGTCGTCGCCGGCACAGCCGGCGATATGCTCCCGCCCACGCAATGCATAAATAGACTCACCTGTAATTAAGAAGATCGCGAGTGATCGCGTGGCATCGCGTCCGAGCATGACCATGGAGCTTATCGCTACTACGAATCAGAATGAACGCCTCAACGTCTCGTTTTTTGACTCGAGTCTTTTTAAGACTGACGCGATCGAGTACGCGATCTACTACGTGTTATTGTCTCAATCTAGTTGTTATACCGTCGCGATAGGTACCGCAGAGTACTCACTTTAAAATCTGAACTGTACTGCTTGTGATTCTTATCCTTGTGTGCATCGTCCAATCCCCACTTGTCTATCCGTAAAACAAGAGTAGGCGGCATGGGACCAAGGCTCGCTAACGATCCGGTTCTAGATCTCACGTGCGGCATAACCATCGGCGACTCCATAGCCGTGCCGTCGCAGCTCAATGCCCTTGTCGACCTCGGTAATTCGCCATTGTCGTAGTCGGAAGTCGTGTATTCTCGGACGAAAAATGTGTTGAACCAAAAATGAAACATCTTCTCCTAGGAACACAATCGTAACGTTCCAGTGAGCTACCGTATATTCCGCAGGAGTAACTTAATCAAGTTTCAGTAGGCACACCTTCCGTTTCATTTTCGGCCTATTGAAGAAATCCACTCGTATATCTCCCGTTAACGCTACATAGCTCTCCAGCGAGATATTAATAGAAGAGGTACCTTTCCGTACCTCGTAATCTTCCGTAAATATCCTTTTGTTAGATTCCGAGATTACAAAACGTAGACCTAGGACGTAACATACAAAGAGTGTGTGTTACAGGTCCTAATATAAATTGCCCTAAATACGGCTATCAATTAACTGTTGAACAGAATTTGCAATGAAAATACCAGTTAAGGGGAATGTCAATAAACTTTTTTCCGCATGAATAAAATTGATAAAAAATTAATTATAAATAAAAGCCTATGGAATGTACAAAAATCGATATCTCGATTTCTCAATAATTTTGGGATAATATACACACATTTATGCTTCATACTTACTTCCTTGACCGCCGTTGAAAATGGGGACTGGATCCAGCTGTATTTTACGAAGTATCAATGTCACCGGTTGATAATTGAGACCTCCTTGAACCAGAGTTGCATAGTAATCCACGTATCTCCTCTGCGAAGGTATCGTCACTCCCTTCCTACAGTACACAGTAATATCAAGTGTGAGAGAGTTAGCTCGATGGGCATCGCGCTATTTACAGTACGTTCTATGATATAAACCTCTGAGGTGTTTACCTGTCGTGCGTCCGTTTAGTTCCGTAATAATTAAGAGCATCCATGGCAGTGACAAATTGCTTGCTATGGAGTAAATAGCAACACACCATCACGCCCGTTCGACCCTTACCCGCCTTACAATGGACCACGGCTACGTTCTCTTTGTGTAGGGAGAGCCACTCGTGCACATCCTCGCAGAACGGCTTGATTTGCTCCAACTTCGGTGGATTATGATCGTCGAATGCATAAGTAGCTACTCTCTGTTTGAACTTTTTGCAATCGTAGGACCTCTCAGAACACCTGGGCACATTTCGATGTTAATGTAATGTTCGCGACAGCAAAATTATTCGCTACAATCGAGGGACTTTGCCTCAACATTGCTATGTAAGATATGTTAGTTCAACGACTACTTACAGATTATAAATCTTGTAATGATCTTTATGTTTGGATTCCAGCAACTTAACAACGTCGTCAATATGATTTCTGTACACTCCTTCTAGCTTCTCGGCAGGGAAACCCATTGCTATTAAATTATCTCTTATATCTGATATCAGAAGTAATTAAGGAATTTGTCACGAGTAAAATAGCAAAAGGCAAAGATAGCATGCATTAATTTGTTTATACTTGTGCGGAATATTTGTTCTAATTTTCAATAGTATACAAAAGAATGCAGAAATAGAGACTGAATAACTATATCTTCATCAAATATTATGTACGTGACAGAACCAGAGAACCAATTTTAAATTTTATAATTTTTAAAGTTTACAAATATCTCTAGCTAGATTAGAGACTCTTTTCCTTTGTGCCTATACAATGAGAAAGGATACATGTGAGATCAAGATCAAAACCATCTTCTGTAAAACGTTTACGACGTTTGCTAACCAGTCCCTTGATGGGATTAGTCATTTTCATGTTGCTGATAGTATTGGCCATACTCGATTGGCTCTGTTTTAACTCTTCTGCTTCGATTTCGACTGATGCACCCTCTGCCTCCTCGGGAACTTCTTCTTCTGCCTTTTGATTCTCAAAGGTGTTTTTGACCTATGTGAAAGTTATCAGATAAAAGAATGAAGTATACACACATATAAACATAAGCTCTACTACCATTCATCATGAAGCACAGTCTCACCTGAGGCTTGTGAGCTGAGGCGTCACATGAGCCCAGTTCTGGTCCTCTTTGTTCCTCCAGACAAACATGGAGGGGAGTTACTGATGCCGAAATATGCTCAGAGATTTTACTGTTCAACCTGCCACTGGTGGGTCTCCTGCAGGAAAAGCATATACCCATCAATTCCCAGAACATATGTCCTTTTACTTATGCATTCTCATCAAGAGAGTGTTCTATGTCTCCACTGTGAAGCTTAGTTTGGCAGGTTCTTGATTGGACATGGACTTCATGGTGATCACCAGTGTCCAATGCCCAGAGTCTGAGGTCCGATAATTCACAAACATACGCATACACACACATACATATATACACACACATACACACGCACGCACACACACATACGCACACACACACACACGCATACACACACACGCAGCAAACCTCCACAGAAAGCTGAGCCTTGGTCCAGAACAGAGAAGCTGTCCACACTGGTGAAAGGACACGTAACACAAAAGCCCACACCATATACAGTGGTATATGTATCTTCCACGAAGTGGGATACAGGCAGAGGCTTCCTCAGGAGATTCCACAAGTGCTCAGTAATTACTATCGAGTATACTGGCCAGGATTAGGCAGAAACTTCCTCATAGTCTGCGTAAGCACACAGTTACTACCAAGGGCACTGGCCGCAGCATTGTCATTGTCGACGGTTTTCTTTATCTTTCCACTAGATAGACAGACATTTCTGCCCCCCGGAAACCACAAGGACAATCATCACCCGCGCCAGCCAACGGAGGAGGGAGGAGGAGAGAGTCTACGATGTTTTACCGTTACCTGGAACAACGTGGTGACACTCACGGAGCGAAAGAATGCGAGAGAGAGAGAGAGCGAGGTATTCGCTCACAGACGTCCGCTCAGGCGCGGCACTAACTATTTGCACACGCGTTTACGCCGGACAAACGCTCAATGAGACGGACGCGCGGCAGGTTAGCATCGCTGACGGACGGATCATGCGACGGTGATGCGACAGCGAGACGATCTCTCGGCGTTGTGTGCGATCAAGCGACGTCGAGATCGAGTCGATTGACTCGATGCACCGCTGGTGATGCTGCTGTTGCTCCTGTTTGCTTGCCTGCTTGGTTGCTTGCTTGCGCTTGCCTGCTTGCTGCTTGCTTGTTCGTTCGTCTGGTTCTTTATTCGCAGTATCGCTTATCGAGGTGCGACGGACTCACCGGGATACGGGACGAGATTCGCGAGACGAGACCAGACGAAACGAGACGAAACGAAACGAGATGACACGAGACGGGACGAGGGAAGCGATAACGAGCGAGAGAGAGTTTTAGGTTAAGCGCGCTCGCACTCTCCCGTAAAGAGAGCGAGTGAGTGAGTGAGAGACAAAAAGAGAAAGAGAGAGGAGCGCCTTTTCTCGCTCTCTCTTTCTCTCTCTCTCTCTCTCCCGTGCGCGCGCGAGCGGCACACAGCGGCGGCGCCGTTCGTTTCTCTCGCGATCGACGACGGTCGCGATGCTGTCGACGGCGGTAGCTGTGGTTTCGCGCGACTTGACAAAGCCGTTCGCGATCTCGCGCACCGGACGCGTCACATGTTGCTTCCTCTGGAGATCGGTGAAGGCCGGATCACGATCACGGCGCGATTCGGACCTGACACGAAGAGAGAGAGAGAGGTAGAACGGCCGACGACGACGACGACGGCGGCGACGACGGCGACGACGCGCGCGCGCGCGCGCGCTGCTTAGGCTAACATTTCATTTGTCGTACACGACAAGTTTGTCGGACGTACCGATTGGTTCCCAACAAGTGGGGGGGCATCAGTCGGAGAGTTGTCAGATTTTCGTCGTAACGAAGTCGAGCACAGAGACCGACTTGCGACGTCTCGTATACGATACAATATGGCGGCCGGCCGATAAACAATGCAGTGAAGGTTATACTACATACTGCACGACAAATGTGCCGTATGTGCGACCGCATGCGCGCTGCCACCAGCCAATCGGCAGATCCGACAATACTCAGCGTACGATAAATGAAATGCTGGCCTTACACTTGCTAGTTCGTTCATTCTATCTCTTTCTTTCTCTTTATCTCTCTCTCTCTCTCTAGCTCTTACACTCCGTCTCCCTCTATCGCTGTCTCTCCGCGCACATTTCTCTCTCTCTCTCTCCCTCTCTCCATCTATCTTTCTCTTCTCTCTCTCTCTCTCTCCCTCTTTCTCTCTTTCCCTCTCTCTTTCTGTAGGAACGAATAGACGAAGATCGTCGCTGTCGCTCTTGCGGCGTACCTACGTTCTGTAGCCGAGGTTGTAGGCGTCAGCGTGTAATGCACGTGCACGCGCGCGCGCGCGCGAGATATTACCGGCACCTTCTTGCGCGGCGGCGACGACGGAGGCGGCACGTCGTAGTACGTTCGGCTCGTGTCGTTAACGTTAACGCCATGACGGCGCGTGTCTTTTTCCACTTTCTTCCCTCCTCTCCACCCCCGCGGCCGGCCGAGCAGGCGGTTTCTCTCACTCGCTCCGCTACGTCGCTCCGGTTCGTTCCAGGACGGACGCACGCACGCACGCACGTACGTACGCACGTTCGCTCGCTCACTTGCCGGAGTCGCCGTTGCGGCGTTCTCTTGTCAGCGTGTGCGCGCGCCCGCGGTCTACGGATCTCTTCGCGGGATGAGGAGCAAGAGGAGCGGGAGGAGGAGGAGGAGAAGGAGATGGAGAAGCAGGAGTGCGCGAATGTCGTTCGTGTATTCTCTCTCTGCTCTTGATTCTTCTGCTATTGCTGCTGTACAACAGCCTAAATAATGTAAAACGATCAAGAAGTTGAACCACGTTTCACCTGGTACAATTTATCATTATGACGTATCGTTTCCGACGCGCGGTCGGAGCGTTTCTTTGTGAAGCAACCGCTGTGTTTACCGCACTTGTAATTGTCACGGGTGAAATCTCGTCCTGATAATCATTCCTCGCAGTCTCCGGTGTGAAGTTTGATAAGGAAATGATTTCTTCAGAATGTTTTCACAAAAGCATCATTTGACGTTTCACACTGACACATTGACGCGCAATCCTGTTTCCTCGTAAACCAACACCTGTCCCTCGTGGGATACGTTTTTTCCAATTTTCTACCTGACTTGTTTCCCTAAACCTTATTGGAGTCATCATTGGGGTCGTTATTTTGTGTGACTATGTGGCTAAGGTTACTGCCTCAAAGCTATTACTTTGACCTGAAATAAATCTTATTGTGTTTTACAGAGGCTCTCCCTTATGCTTTTATTTTAACGTTTGTCATATTTACTGTCATACATTTCTGCTTTGTATCCATTAATTATACATATATATTTCATATTACCCACTTGTTTTTAATACTTGATCTGAAAATGTTTCGCAAATTCATTATTTCTCTCTTTTTACATAATATTGGTGCTCTCTCAATAGCTCAATAGTTTTACTTTATTCTGCTATTATTATATAGTTATTTTACTTTATTCACCGAAGTGATAACACGGAACATTTCCCTAATTAAGTAAGTTGTCAATTTAAAGTTGCGATAACCGTTTCTAGATAACTTCTATATTAAACATTGTCTTGTGTACTTTGTTTTTTACATGTATATACAAGATCAGCATATATGCTTTAACATTTGTATTATCGAGTTTCTTACGATTTTTAATTGTACTCTTTAATATCCAGACAGTTGAAAATCGTAATCAATAATTGTTAAGGCATAATCGCTGGTCCGAAATGAAGCCGCGAATGGCACATAAAAGTTAAGGTCAAGTTTGCAGCAGTTTGTTAAAAGAAAAGAACAATCGAAGATTAAAAGAAAGAGGAAAAATGTATCAGTGTGCATTCATATTATATCCAGACGTACGTGTTTACAGTTGAAACAAACTACAATACAAAAAATCCTTGTCTATATGTAATATATATATATATATATACACACATATATATATGTATATCTTTGTCGATATGTAATTGATAATTTAATCTAAGAATGTTTTAATATTTCTTCTTTATATCCTTCTATATCCCTCTATATTTAAGGTACAAAATTTACAAGCGATATCGACCTAAACACTCAAGTAATTAAATACTAGAGAGGTTACAGAAAATATATAAATATATTATAATTTAGTTTTGTAGTAATAATTTTTATCATTCCAGCTCCAGTTGTTTAACTTAAATATAAATTAATCTATTGTTTGATAACACAAAAATACATTTTGTGTGCCACTTCAAAGGCTTAATCTAATCAAATGTATTATATGCAAAAATATATTATAGCAATGAGGTATACTAGAGCCTCAGAGACTTCCAGACTCTAATGCGAACAAGTAAATCTATATGCATGTCACTTTTGCGTTGTCCTTGCGACGATACAATTAGTAACAAACGGACCTTATCATCTCTCATTTCCTTTATCGATCAACCTTTATGGGCCATATTATTCAAAATTGTTCTATGTAAATTTTTCTGTAATTTATTGCACGTCCCACTGTGCCAATAATACATTTTGGATATATATGTTGCTCTATTTTTAACTGCAAATCGTATTGTGAATTGTATATCTTAACAATTATTGAGAATCGCAATTTTGTAGAGACTCGATAGCAATTAAAACACTGTACAAAATTGAAATTTTTAAGATTTTATGTAGATCCAATCCAGATAAATATTCTATTAAATATTTCCCCTCTCTTCCTCATCATACATTCTCATCATACATCGTACATTTTCATCATCGTGCGTGTTTTACATCATGATGCGATCATACCGTATTTCTTACCGCGCAACTCATTTTACCTCATACTATTTTATCTCATTAAAAATTTTATCTATGCAATGTCTTTTCCTCTTATCGTGAAATTATAAATATGACTGAAATAACTAAATTATAATTCTATGCGTTACCCCGATATAATGTTGGAAACAAATCTAATAAAAATTTCTTAACAGTAATGACCCGGAAAAAAGTCAACATGAAATATCCCTGTGATTTCACATTGCAAATATAACGTGGAAAATCGTCAAAATTATAGCTAATTAAAGATGTAAAGGGATACTTTTTCCTTAATTTCTTCAATCCAATTCCGGTGGCTTCGCTGTGCCAAATAAACCCGTGTGTAGTTTTGACATTCGCATGTTCTTAAAAGATTTCAATAAATCTTCCATCGTGATGGGTCGTACCGCATCGTGATACTCCTCGTCGTCTGTAGCTTTCGACGAGCTGGAACCATCGCTATAAATTAAACAACGTTACGAAACAAACATATTTTTGGAGAGCAAACTGTACTAGTTTCCATAATTATAAAAAATTTCGATATACATACTGCGTGTGTAAATAATCTCTAATACGATAAATGGACGCGTTCCGACATAGCTCTTGTAGATCCGATCCGGAAAAGCCTTCTGTCTGCTTCGCCAACATCGGAATATCCACGTTATCGGCTATCGGTTCGTTCCGCAAAATTAACTTCAGTACATCTAATCGTTGTTGTTCATTCTAAGATGATTATTTCATTATTATATGACCATGTGTAGATCATAATGAGTAAAAGTTAAAATTTGTAGCATGTATGTACACTTTAAGATAATAGAAATCTTTTCATCAAGCTCAACGTCTTATTAATATTCTTACTGGTAAAGAGATATAGAAAGTCGCTGGCATGCGCCGCAGAATTGCCCTATCTAAATCCTGAGGTCTATTGGTAGCTCCCATTACAATTACTGTGCACGAAGGATCAGTTATCAAACCATCCCACAGTGACATGAACTGAGCCTTCATCATAGCCGTAGCTTCATGATCTTGTGTATTACGCGCTCGCAAGAAGGAATCTGTTGAGTTTATAAGTATATTAGAAGCAAGAAACCTTGCCTATCAATAACTGCAAAGTGAATCATAATTTTATATATATTTAGTATTTGCAATTTGTGATAAATCATTACATACTACTATATCGTTCTGCAAAAACTCGAAAAATAAAAACTTCCAAGAAGAAACGAAGAGGAAAAGCTGTTATTTTTAAGTTAAGGAATTAATGTTGCAATATACCAATCTCATCAATAAAGATGATGCAAGGCTGAAGTTTCACTGCTAAAGAAAAAACAGCAGCGGTTAGTTTCTGGCTTTCCCCATACCATTTGTCAGTAAGGATACTGACATCCAGATTTATAAAGCACGTTTTTGTTTCCTTAGCGGTAGCCTTTGCAATCATAGTTTTGCCACAACCTGGCGGACCATGCAACAATATTCCCTGAAAGTAATAAGCATATTTTAATTGTTATTCCATTTTATAAACTACTTTATGAATTCTTTTCCTGTCTCTCAACGATTAATGGCTAAGCTACCTTTGGTGCTTGCATCAGCTGAGAATCTTCAAACAGTTCCTTTCTTTCTATGGGCAACATGACAGTCTCTTTGAGTTCCTGAATAACATGTTCCAAACCAGCGATATTGTTCCATGAAACTTTCATGTCATTTGGATCCACCAAATGAGTAGCTATTATCACCTCATAATCGGTTAACTGCTCTAAATCGAAGGCCTGTATTTGACCACCTGATTCAGTCAACTTACGCAATTGCTCACGAGCCTAAAACACCCATTGTTCCTACCGTCAGTGCAAATATTATATGCAGCTTTGTATGCCTTGTGTGTTACATTCTATGACCAGAGCTTCGTGTGCAAATAGAAAATAATCCACGATCGTGACTTTTCTTTACGAAAACTGTACAAAATATTTAAAGACCTTTTGCTTGGCTCGCTTTTTATTGCTATTGGTGGGATCTAATTGACTCATGATCCATTTCATGCTAAAAAAGCCGATCGCTGTGACGCAAGTCAACCTCGCCACAAGCATCAACACTTCAGAACGCGTCAATCCACCATCCGCAACCATGTTCATGATTCGCAATATCCTTCTGTAAAATTCGCTGCGGTGTTATAATTTATAATCATTACATACATTACATACATTATATATATATACATTATAATCAAACATTCTTTATTGTCTTCCACCAAACGTTCTCTTTTCTCTTCTTTCGTTAAATTAGGTTACAAATTTTGTAAAACGTTAAACTTATTTTAAGGTTTTTTCGATACGCGTTACAAAACTATTGAATGCGTTACTGACCGATAAAGTACTGCAAACAGTTAGATGAGAATAATACCGTTACCACAAAATGATTTATTTCGTTTATTGTAATTATTGCTAAAATTTGCTAACCTGCAACCTGTAATTTACATTAGGTTGAATCGCTGACACACAACCGCAATCACAGACTTAACCTATCTCCTACCATAACCTAACTAAACATAGCCTCACCGACTCTGGGTTTCTGAAGCATCTCCGGTACAGTGTTACTATCGGACCTAGTTTCTTGCGTCTGCGCGTTGACTATGATCTCAAAAAAGATTTAAATATAAAAAGATGTAATATTCTCTGTTAGACTGTTTCTCAATGAGTTGTATTTAAAAATTAAACATTTAAATTCAAAAGTCTCGAATTTGAAAATTCTAACTCTCCGATGTGAGAATTTTCAGAAAAATTCAAAGAGAATGAGTATAATTTAAAGAATGCAAATTCAAAGCTTCGAGTCTTAATTCCGAAGATGATTTCCATTAAATTTCCACTAAATTGATTGACACAATGATTAAACGACAGAATGCAGCCAATAACTATGGCTATTTATCGTCCAGCAATAACTAGAAAATTAATAATTTTATGTTAAAGAAAGAGCAATTAACACTTGATAGCAACTTTAGATATAAGTTGTAAAGAGAGAATTTTCTTGTTCGTTCCAACAACAGACTTTCCTATTCCACGTTGGCAACTCTGCCAACTAGTTAATTAATCGTCGACTAGTTCAATCGAAATTCGCTGAAAGTCGTCCCAACTGTTATACGTGAAGCTCTCAGGTACAATCGAGTACGAGATCGCATGGCAAAACACGTGTGCAGCAATATTATTTCGAGTTAAAAGCCCGAGGTGTAAAATAAATTGTACGCGATGATATAACGAGTTAAGCCCTGAAGATTCTTGAAACTCGCTTATCCTCTCGTGCTTTCTTATACGAGATGGCAGAGCGCGCGTTATGAAAATAGGAAGTGCCGTTGGGGGCGCCAAGGTTGCGCACTTTCCGCCTTCACGACGCCTAATTAAGCAGCCCGTGATGCAATAACGACCAGAATGCAGCCATGAAACCACTCCGCCGTGATGAAAATGAAGCGCTCGGCGGGGAAAATCGTTAATATACCAACCTCATCCGAAATCTTAATAGCGACTCCTTTACATCTCTAACGAGGACGATGAACAAGGTAATGCGTGATCTTTTCAAACGTCTCTCGCGATTCTCCTTGTGGAATTAAAATCCGCAGCTTTCCACATTACACTGTCGACAAGCCCGAACTTGTAAGATATATATTTTATCGCGATCACGTCAACTAACACTATCAAGTGATCGGTTTCTGTAATTTCTTAAAAAAGTTAATCAAATTCTGTACAATTCTATTACAACGGTGTTCTATATTTTACACTTTTAGAGGCCGTTGAATAAAACTAAAATAAACAAATAAGCATTTTTGTCTTTGCACGACATATCGACATTTTTCAAAAATTTGTTTCGACCGCTCCGGTAGGAACGAGTTATGTTAATTGTCGGTATTGAATGACACATTGTGCCTTCCGATGCAAATTTCCGAATCCGCTCTCTTCCTCTCTCTCTCTCTCCCTCCGTCATTCTCTCTCTCTCTCTCTCTCTCTCTCTCTCTCTCTCTCTCTCTCTCTCTCTCTCTCTCTCTCTCTCTCTCCTTTCTTCACATAAGTAAAACGCGGTTGATCCGGTCCCCGGAATTTGAATCTACGTAGCTTGGTCCGGAATATACGCTCGTCCTTCCGGCGCGATATGCGCCAAGAGACGCCTTCCGGAAGGGATCGGTCTTACACGAATTCGGGGAAGCTCGGGACGCGCGATAAGACCTTTCCCGAAGTATTAGCAACGTCGTCGCCGGCGACGCTCAACGCGACCATCTTAATTATCACGACGGGCCAAGTAACGAGGGTCGGCACAAGGCGATGACGCGTAATGTATGTACACGAGAAGGGCCTAAATAGCCGAGGCCATTGTGCATGTACAACGGCGCGTCGGATCTGTTGAGGCATTAATAGTCTCACAGGCGTGACGTAATTAACTCGCGGCCGCCGAATTTCCGGCATTTACGGTAACGCGCGCGCCGCTACGCCGCCGGGGGTGGCGGCGGCGGCTCCTCGCTTGATACCGGAAGTGCGCCCGCGGCACCGTCAGCCCTCGGCTGCTGCGGCTATATAATAGCGTCGAGGATGCGCGGCCCGTTCCTATGGGAAAGCTCCTGTGAGAGGATCCAAGATCCGATTCGAGCGACGCGTGCAACTGACGTAACTGCGGCGGATTAAGATGCACGCGATGTGTGTCTTCGACGATGTATTCCCTCGCCCCTTCCGTCTTTTCTTCCTCCGCGGGACGTGTCCCGTTCTACCGAGGGTGCTCGGGATCGACTGCCCTTTTACCGGGTACTTTGTGTTTCTTTATCTTGAATTTGAATTGAAGTTGAACGAACGCACGAGTGTCAAGTTCAGGTTGATGAATCGCAAGTGGGCGGTTTGAACGATAATATGCCGGCGCGATTCTTGTTTCTCCGTGTAGGTTTTTTTACACCGGCGGACTCTAATGGAAAAACGAGCCGTGCGGGGCTACCTAATTAAGGCCAACGTCATTTCATTATTCGCACGCTGGGAAAATAATCAGGTAATCGAAATTAGGGCAGATCTAAATAAAGCATCGACAGGCAGGCAGCCCGAGGGAGGAGGGGGCGGTCGTTAATTCTAGCCGCGCGTAAAAACAAGGAGCGCGACATCAGGCATCCGTAAATCCAGATAAGACCTGGGCCCCCGGTGTAATCTAGTGGCGTTAAATACGACTGAAATAGCGCATAAGCCGCACTTAAGCAGGCGTAAACAGTCGCAAATGAGAATTTCGCGCGGACGCGATCAGCGTCGCGGAAAACATTAATCTCCAGGCGGGCCGTGTTTTCTTCTCCCGGACCGCAAAAAGTTAGTCAAGTCGAGAGACAAAAGTAGGTTTCATTTTCGTCGCGTTTTTCCGGCTCGTTAATGCTGCCGCAGGACGTGCGCGAGCGCGTCTAATGGTTTCTCAAAGATTCATGAGCGCGCGCGCGATGAAAGAAATTTTTTTCAGCGCGAGGGAGAGCGAAACAAGAAGGGGAAATCAAACTGAGTCGTCGAGGAGTATTCGCGAAATATTCGACGCTCGAAAAACGCACGGAGGAGCAGGGACCGTATCATTTCGCACCGATCGAGTCCCTTTCGGCTCGCCTCGTCGATTTCGGTTTTTACAGCTAACTATTGCCGTAGCATACGCGTTTCACGCGTATGGAAATATATTTTTTTCATTTATGATACATAATAAAGTACAAAATTGAATGGAATTTGAAACATACTTTGCACAATATAACATTTCACTCGCTTAACACATACAATAATAATATATAAAAATTAATTGATACATGATTCAAATGTTCCTTTTCACTAGCGTGCGCTGGTACGCACGCGTGTTGAAATTTATGCATAGAAAAATATAAAGTGACGCAAAAATTCGCGAAAGCTGCAACGAACGTTGTTTAACGTCTTACTCAGCGACTTCGAGCGACTCTCAGACTATTTTGTACTGATTCCGCGATTTCGCGCTCCTTTCGGATGTAACAATTAACAAATTTATCAACGCAGCTTTCTCTCTTTCTCTCTCGTAACGCGATAACGTTTTTTTACAAGGACGGGAAACGACTTAACGCTACGGAAAGGTTGTTTGAGATTCGATGTCAGATTCTCGCTCTTATGTGATACAACGCGTTGCGGATTAACGCGTATCGTATGGACGGATATACTATTTCGACTATCTACAGGCAGTTTCGGTGAACAAGAGTGTACTCTTTGGCAACTTCGGAGTCGATTTCTGCTTAACGAAGATCAGAGACGCGTCGATTACACGTCGCGCGCAACGCGATCCCGTTTCTCAAAGTTCCACGGATTAAAATTCACCGTTCTACGAACAATATACATAATAGATGGAACAAAATAGTATGCGCCGGTGTATTTTAAAGTGTACCGAACGGAAATTAAGTTAACGAGCAAAGGGAATTCGGGAGTGCCTGCTCGAGGTAACGGCTCTCCTAATTAAAATTTCGTTAAGGCGAAGCCAACTCCAAAATCTTTCCAGATTACATCTCCACTATCTTTCTCAGGTTTAACATAAGATAAGGTCACTTTCTCGCTCCTTCTCCCTCCCTCCCTCTCTCTCTCTCTCTCTCTCTTTCTCTTTATCCTTATCCTTTTTCCTTTCTTCCTTGGTTTTTACTACCTTTCATAAGAACTCCATAAACAATTCTTACGATCACGTCCGACACTTCTCCCGCTCTCTTTTTGCTCGTCGAGAGAGTCTATGGGTTCTGTAAGCTCGACGAATCTTCCTCACTTAAAGTAAAACAACGTAACGACGGCGGCGGCGCACGTCGCGACGAGCAGCGTGGCGAGGGACAAGCTGGACGCTGCGTTACACGAGTCCTCGGAGCAATAGCACTCCTGCCAGAAAACGCCGTTCTCGCGGACGCCCCAGTTGCAGACTCCTGTCACTCCGGTGCTGGCAACGGAGGCGCATCGCCGAATCACTTGCCGCCACCTACCGTCCCCTGGACATTTCCGGTTCAATCAATTAGTCAATCGTGCGGTGGAATTAATCGCGAGCTCGGACGAGAGCCCGAATTTCGCGGACGCGCGACATTTGTCGCGACGTCTCTTTGCGGCTTTACGTCTCCGTCACTATTGGTTTCCGGAAATATGAAAGACCTCAGACGCACAACGCAAATAATAACGAGCGAGCGATTCAAATAAATCTCTTTTCTTATCGACTACAACGAAGAGTCATTGTGTGACTTCGAATTGCTCAGCTATGATAAAGAGTAGTCGTGGCGAGAGCTAAGAGAGAGCTGAGTGACTCTCCGCAGTAAATATACTCACAAATGAAACCACGTGGACTCTGTTCGGTCAACTTCACGCAGAAGGTGCCCGGCATGTGCGACTCTTCGCTGTTACACTCGATCGGCACGTTCCTCTCTCTGTCGAATTTCGTGTAAGCACCGCAGAGATCCTCGCCTTTGAGATCGGTGTCGGAACTGCATTCGTAACATCGTATCGCCTCGGTATCTGCGTATTTCGAATCGAAAGGATAATTAATAAAGGTATTAATCGTAACCTTCGAACAATCACGCAACATTATCAGCGTCTAATCAGGTAATTAACGGAGTGGACGGGCGAGGTGATTCTAGTCCTACTTTAAAAGCCATTAATTCAGAGAAAATTCTTGGCGCGTCCTCCTCCAGTCATCTCCGCGACGTCGAAGCGTCTAATTAGAACGAACGAAGCAATTGAGAAGAGTCTGAATTTCGCTAACGTTTACAGACTAAAAAGACAGATTGAGGTCAAGGGTGCCGGTCGAGCTTGTTACGGTGCTGCAAGCTTGTGTTTCTTCGATGCTTCTTGGCGACGACGTTTTTACATTCCATCGAGACGAGCGTCCTGGCGGATGAGCCACGCCGCGTTTCGTCGGGAAAATTGTACGAAAGGGCGTAAAAACAAAACGTTCGAACGATCGTCTGTCGACTCGAAAGGCAACTTTTTACGCTTGCCCGTGCGAACGGTCCTAAGGTTTGTTTTCAAGATGGCGAACGCTACCTGAAAGGCGTTATTCTATCCTTCGACTGGCGTTCTCGCGCGCGCGATCACCTGCTCCGGACAATCTTACCTATCGCGCAGTACAACAGCAACGCGCACAACACGACGACGACGTTGTTGGGCCCCGTCATGGTCCCCGAGGAAAATCCGTGCGCTCTCTCCGTTCTTTTCTTCTCGGGCAGCGAGAGGAGACACGTGTGTTCAGCCACACCGTACCGAACGCACTGCGCGCGTACGCGCCTGATGCGTCATTCATTGGGCGTAACAGGCCTACGTAGTACGTTAGCGATTCCGTGTTTCCCTTCCTTCTCCTTCCCTTCTTCGCCGTCGCCCACGCCAGTGGCGGATCAAGGCGCCCGGTGGCCCCCTGAAGAGCTCTCGGCGAGAGCTGGATTTCCCAGAAGACTAAATAACGAGTGAGGAAGCACAATGAAAAATAATAAAGGCGGGAGGACATTTTTTTGCGCGGGAGTGCAAGGAGTGCGCCGGGGACGAGGTCGTTAAGCGAGTCGGTGCGAATGTCGTCCCGTTCGCGAGACTCCAAAGTTTTCGAATTAAGATAAGGAACGTTGAAAGCTTTGCGACATTGCGCGCTCCTCAAACGACCGGGCCGGGTGGGGACCACTTGTATCTCTCCACTGGCGAAAACGCAGGTGAAGCGGTAATAAGGGAGGACAAAAGGTGCGCGGCGACGTTATTGCGGCGCGCGCGGTGAATCGCGAACTGTCCCGGGGGAGGTCCTCGTTGCCGTTGCGTTCTCTGTCGCCGTTCGATCGTGTCTTATCTGCCCCGCGCGTCGAGTCCCGAAAAGTTTCATTCGTTCGCCTCTGCATCGCGGTGCCGTCGCGCTAATAGCGCGACGGTGATAAGCAACGCAAATTCGGGGCTGACATTAGCGAAAGATGGAGAAAGACAGAGAGAGAGAGAGAGAGAGAGAGAGAGAGAGAGAGAGAGAGAGAGAGAGAGAGAGAGAGAGAGAGAGATAGCAGTGTTGTTAATATAATCGGGGTATTTTTATAGCCCAAGTGCTTAAGTTTGCGAGTACTATACCTAATTATTACCCAGATACTCGGATAGACACATTCGTACCTACCGGGTGTCCACATATTACCGGGTATCCGAATACCTACGGATTCGTGGATATTATCCCGATAATCAGAAAATAAAAACGAATAAATAGTTGCGTGTCTATGCATTCGATTGTTGTTCGTTATCGTTAGGCAAAATCAATAATTCTTAACGTGTGAAATTAACTGTATATTCGATTACTCATCCATTCGAGCAATAGCCAGAAAGTTGGCCGATCAAAGCTTGCGCGGCACTTCTCCTCGAGGAAACGAGAAGAAGATGTAACTTTTGATCGATAGACTGCACCGGGATAATACTCGAAAGATCTAAATATTCGGATACTTGGGTGAGCACTGACAGACATCACTGGCAAAGAGATGGCAATTTTTTTGCTCGGCAAAATTTCCACGGACATCTCGGGAAACTTCTCGGATAACGCTGCAGTAATCCGCGGTAAATTGACTTCTCCACCTTCCGACGAGATTACGTATCATCTCCACGAACTCGTATCTTCTGAGTACCGGCCCGTACCCTCAATCACGGGAGAAGCTGCGGATAATTTCTCCCCAATCTTGTGTCACCCTCTCTCTCGCTCATCGGCTCGAACGCTGCCGTGCGAAAAGACGACTGCGCGTTCTCGCTGGCCGATCGGAATTTTCCCGTGATTGGAAGTAAACTCGATCCCGCACGCAACCTTGACATCCTCTCCTCTCCTCTCGCTCCGACTCGCTTCGTCTCGCTGCCGCTCACCCTCGCGCTCGCGCACGAAACAGATAGCCTCGGTAAATTATTCAAAACGCACCCTCTATGATCTATGGAGGCGCTCCTAAGCCTGGCACCGGCAATCTATCCTCCCCTTCTATGCTGCCCTCTTCGTTCGCCCTCTCATTCCTCCGACTGGCCCGTCCGTTCTTGCCGCAAGACTCACCCTCTGCACAAGACTCCCCCTTCTCTCTCTCCACCTCGCGCCCTTGTCTCTCGTCTCTTTTACTCGCTCCTTCTGACTCTCGCTACTTCTCCATCCTCTCGTCGCTCCACTCCTCCACGGCTTTCCTCTTCAGCCTTCCCGGTTCGCTCGCTCGCTCACTCGTTTCTTCTCATCCGCAAGCGGCGGCATCCCCAAGGGAATTTCTACTTTTCTGACAGCCGCCACCGCATTTATCCCATCCAGCTAGTCTCCCGGACGAGCTTACAAAGGAAGCCCGGAATCCAATAAGTCCCGATAATGCGAGAAGAAGAGAGAGACTCGCGAGTGTACACAACTCGGCCCAACTCCCCTCCCCCCTCCTCCTCCACCCACCGGATAATCACCCGCTGTGGTATTGATTTATCGCCGACGAATATATTTCGCCACCGGCCTCGGATCGAGCGGCGATTCACGATTGCGCGTTCGATTATCCGATCATCCTGTGATCCGACTGCGCAGGAACACGCGTCAGTGCGCCACGCGCAGCGAAATGCCCTCGCGAAGTGACTACGCGAGAGGCGCGAGTCGCTTTGTATACGCTTTGTATACGTACCGCACGCGCGCAGCGACGGGAAAATTGGCGAGAAAACGGCGGGAGCTCGATAACGCTACGCCGTGTGTACGAGTGCGTTCCGGATGACGAGTCGTCCGTAACAGCGTGCCGCGAGCTCTCTTCTCTCGGATGGAAAGAACGTGCCGGGCGCGCTGTGTCGAATCCTTTATCCGCCGGCTGCCATCCGGCCCGCTATTTCGCTACCTCGCAGTCGTTGCGACACCGACCGAAGAGGCGAGAAATGGATAAATACGTAGGCAGTCTGAAAAGTTCTCGGCCTAACAATGAAAGAAAATTTCTTTTTGCCGTGAAATATATTTTATTTTTCAATGTAATCTCCTAAAACTTCAATACATTTATTCCAATACGTTTTTCCAATAATTCAACACCATTATTAAAGTGTGATTCCGGAAGGTCTGCAAAATATCCATCCACGGCTGCAATAGCTTCGTCATTTGATGTAAAATGCTTTCCAGCCAGGAATTTTTTCAGGTTTGGAAACAGATAATAGTCAGAGGGAGCGAAATCTGGTGAATACGCTGGATGTTCAAGCAATTCGTACTTTAACTCGTTGAATTTTGCCATTGTCAAAACACTTGTGTGAACACGTGCGTTGTCTTGATGGAAGACGATTCTTTTCTTCCCCAAAGCAGGTCTTTTCTCACGAACTTTTGCATCCAATAGATCCAAAAGGTTACAATAATATTCAGAGTTGATCGTTTTATCTTTCTGAAGATAATCGATCAACAAAACACCTTTGTAATCCCAAAAAACTGTTGCCACAACCTTTCCTGCTGATGGAACCATCTTTGCCTTCTTTGGTGCACGTCCACCGGCTTCAATCCATTGTTTCGACTGTTCTTTTCGCTTTGGTGTATAGTGGTGGATCCAAGTTTCATCAATAGTTATGAAACGACGCTTGAAATCCATTTACCGTTTTGCTTAAAACGATCCAAACACGCTTGAGAAATACGCATTCGAATGCGTTTTTGGTCAATTGTTAGCAAATGCGGCACCCATCTCGCACAAAGCTTTCTCATATATAATTCTTCATGCAAAATATGTCCAATTCGTTCTTTTGAGATGCCTATGGCCTCAGCTATTTTACGCATTTTCACTCGCCGAACATCTAACACCATATCATGGACTTGTTGAATGTTTGTTGTAGCAGTTTTTGGACAACCTTCGCATGGATCATCTTCGAGACCTGTACGACCAGATTTAAAAAGAGCAGCCCATTTTTTCACAGTGGAAAGTGAAGGTGATGCATCCTTATACACTTTTAACAATTTCGGATGAGTTTCTGTTGGTGTTAAACCATCCAAAACAAAGAATTTAATCACTGCACGATATTCAATTTTTTCCATTTCAAAAAAGACAATGACACGTCAATATTAAACTGGTGCTACTACTCGAATAACTTGACAGATCGAAATAAAATTTTACATGGGTTTATATCAGGGATGCCACTTTCCAATACAATTATAGATTGCCCTCGTAGATATAGAGAGAGACAGAAGGAGAGGGAGGGGAGAAGAGAGAGAGAGGGGGGAGAGAGAGAGAGAGAGAGGGGGGAGAGAGAGAGAGAGAGAGAACGAAAGAGGGAGAGGAGAGACGAGAGTGCGTTTTCGCGGATAATATTCTATATTCGCGATACGCCGCTGGCGCGCGCCGCCGAGACGTCGGATGTCGACGAGCGTCGCCGTGATGGAATCCTAAGCTCCTCTTCGCCCAAGTTAACCGTTTCCTCTTCCTCCTCCTTCTCCTGCCTCTCCGTCTGCTCCGAATTGTTTGAGTGTATCGTTCGACGATTCGACTCACCGTTACGACACACGAGCGTAGCATCCACTCGTCCGCGAATATGACGGAACGCGACGTTTGCACGCGGTGGAGGATGAGAAGGAGGGCGGAGGGGGAGAGAGGGGGAGGGACGGCAGGAACACATCGATGCACGTTGTCGTTTCGCCAAATACGATTCCATCGGAAAACGATAAAGAGGCACCCCTGCCCGCGGCATACTCGCCCTCCCTCTCCTCTCCCGCCCTCCTCCTCGTTGGGGAAACTGCAAATCGATGGGGTGCGTATTTTATTTAAATTCGCGCCATGGTGCGAGAGAGAGAGAGAGAGAGAGAGAGAGAGAGAGAGGGGCGGAGGAGAGGGAAGGGAGCGGGGAGAGAGCGAGAGAACGGAGGAAGAGAGACGAGACGCGCGGCGCAAATTTGCAATTTCAAAATATCCCGGCGAGTCTATGAGCGAAAAAGGGAATGTCGCGGGGCAATGCGCGGGCGAGGGGAACGCGGGGAGGCGAACGGAAGTAGGCGGAGGGGATTTAAATCCCCTCGCGTCGGCCTCGCTCGCGTCCCGACGCAATTGTTATTTTAATTCGACTTTTTGTCATTAGCCTGCCGCTAATTCGGCCGAACTCGACGCGCTGCCGTAATGCGCCTCCTTATTGCCGTCCCTTTTTCTCCCGCCTGATCTTCTTTCCCTCCTGTCTCTTTCTCTCTCTCTCTCTCTGTTTTTCCTCTTTATCTCCCTCCCCCTCTTTCTTCTCTCCCTCTGTCGGTCTCCTCGTCGTCGCAGTCGTGGTCTCATTAAAACGATGTCAGATCGGTCGAGTGCTCAGACGTCCGGAGTGCATACAGCTTCCGTCGGTTTCGAGAGAGCGAAAAAATTACTTCATGCCCCATAGACGAGTCTCTTCCTTCTTCATCTTCATCTTCCTCCTTCTCCCCCTCGTCGTCCTATCGTTCGGAACCTCCTCCTGGTTGGGAAATGTGCATTTCCTCCGATTTGGCGAATTAATTCGC